CAGGCTGGTCTTGAACTCTCAACGCTCCTCCTGCCTCAGCCTCCCAAGTGCGCCACCACGCCCAGTGACCAGAGCGCCATCTTAAGTGAATACTTTTTGAGGTCAAGAACTCCTTTGGAGATTTGATGAAAGCTTTTACTTTTTTTGTGGCCCAAGGGTAGACCCCAGGGCCTTATGCATGCATGCTAGGCAAGTTTTCAAACACGGAGCTATATCTCCAGCCCCACTTCTTTCTTCCTTTCTTAACCTTTTTTTTGAGTCAGGGTCTTGCTATGTAGTTCAGGCTGGCCTTGAACTCACTATGTAGCCCAGCCTGGCCTGGAACTTGTGACAGTCACCCTGTCTTAGCCTCCCGAGTGCTGAAATTACAGGCGTTCAACACCACCTACTTATTTCTTGGTGTTTGGAACTCCGAGTGGTTGCATGAATGTGTAATAGCAGAAGGATGAGTCCCATTGAGGACACCCTTGTTTTGCTTCCTGGTGTGACCCAGGCCCTGTCCTGTATGTTCCTCTTGAAGATCAAGAGACGAGGTAGAGCAAAGACCAGCTTTATTATTGATAAGGGCAAGGAGGCACTGCTAGTGCCAGGCCCTGCTGCAGGGAGGGACAGAGGGCACATCTGCCAGCATGGATGCCAGTGAGGTCCAGGGCTCCAGGGGCCTCTGGCTTTCAGCAGGAGGGAGCAGGTGGGCAGATGCTAGACATGGGAGAGTGGGCTTCTCAGGACAGCTCTGGAGCTGGGGCAGGGCTGGGGTTGGCTGGGGGCTGGGGCGGGGGCCGGGGCTGAATGTCCCTGGTGCGCATGTAGGACAGCAGCTGCTCTGGGATCTCAGCCAGCACATCCTTAGCCAGTCGGGCCATGCTCAGAACCTGGTTCCCTGAGCGGTCCACGTAGTCTCGGAACGGGACAAACTAGGACCGGCAGACAGGAAGGTGTGGGCCATGGCCCAGGGAAGAGGCTGGCAGGAGGCCTCACCTGCGATCCTCACCATCACTCCTAAATATCATGCTCTCTCCTCATCTTGGACTTTTTTTTTGTCTTGTTGAGACAAGGTCTCACTATGCAGTTCGGGCTGGCCTTGAGCTCACTTTGTAGTCCAGGCTGGCCTCGAACTTGCACGATCCTCCTGCCTCAGCCTCCCGAGTGCTGGGATTACGGGCCTGCACCACCATGCCTGGCTTTGACAGTTTTTTACATTTGTCTTCACCCACTTTTTTCCAGCTGCTCACCCTCAGCCCTCTCTAGCCCCTTCCCACAGTCCGCCGAAACTGTCCTTGCTAATGTCCTTGGCAGCTCCAAGCAGTCCAGCCAGTCCCCATCTTGCCGTCCTCTTCTGTGTCCCGTTACATGTGAACATGATACTCTGGGACCTGCATCTGTCTCAACATCACACACATGCACATGCTTCTGATCTTGCTGTTGCCTTTCCAGAAGCTCCTCCCCCTTGTCCCCTGCCTCCCCGAAGCCAGCCCCTGCTTTCTAAAACCAGCCCCTACTCTCTCGCTGTCTTTCTGGGTGATTTCATACTCTCCTGACTTTAAAGTCTGTCTCCTGTGAGGGAGGAGAGGGGGCAGGGAAGGGGTTGGAGCCAGAGGAGAGGACAGGCAGAAAGCAGAAAGAAGGGACCCCACAATGAGGAAAAACACCCCTAGAGGAGAGGCCAGCGGGAAGTGGGGTTAGAACCAGAGGGAGTGGCACAGGGGAGAAAGGTGGACAAAGGGAGGCAGAAGTGAAAAGGAAGAAGAAAGCTATTCCCGATGAGTCCCAAATATTTCTCTCCATCCTTAACCTTTATAAAGTTTTATTTTAAAAAAATGTTTTATTTTTGCCCAGTGTGGTGGTGCACGCTTGCAATTCCAGCACTCAGGAGGCTGAGGCAGGATTGCAGCAAGTTGGAGGCCATCCTAGGCTACATAGTCAGTTCAAGGCCAACCTGAACTTGGTAGTAAGACCCTGTCTCAAAAAATCAACAAGAAAATAAATAAAATAAACTTTACTTTTACTTTTTTGTTTTTAGATGAGGCCTCACCATGTTGCCCAGGCTGGTCTTAAAACTCCTAAACTTAAGTGATCCTTCTGCCTCCTGAGTGCTGGGAATATAGTCAGGCACATTCCATCATGTGGTGGAGTACTAGAGGTTTGATTCAGGTCCTTCACTTTGAGCTACAGTCCCAGTCCCAATCTTTTTTTTTTTTTTTTGAGACAGGTTCTCAGGTTGCTAAATTGCCCAGAAGGACTGCAAGTTTGAGCCCAGCCTAGGCAACAGAGGCAGACCCTATCTCAAAAGAAAAAATAAAAAGGGCTGGGCATGCAGCTGAATGTGGAGAGCCTGGGTTCAGCCCTCAATACCACACACACACACACACACACACACACACACACACACACACAGAGGCGACTATCTCACTCCTTTTGCAAAATCCTTCCAGAGCTTTAGAGTGAAACCCCATCTTAGCCTGGTGTGCTGGCCCACACCTGTAATCCCAGGTACCTCTGGAGGCTGACACAGGAAGATTGCAAACTCAAGGCCAGCCTGAGCAACTACCTTAGCTGTCTCAAAGACAGTAAGTAAATGAATGAATGGATAGATGAATGAAAGAAAGAATAAAACTATCTCTCCCAGGCTGACCCCTGCTATGTGACCCTGCTACTCAGTCCTTCTCCAGTGCAGCTGCTGTGCCTGTGCCGACAGCTGCCTCCTTCAGCCACAGTGGTATCTAGACATCCAACCCACGACTGAGCTCCCAGCCACGGAAGGCGGCAACCCCTGCGATCCCTGGGCCCTGCACTCCCACCAGCCCCATCCTTGCGATTGGTGCATTTCTCCACTTCAGGTCGCTCTAGAGGACCCCCTCTCCAACCAGCTGCAGGTCCACTGCACGGGGTTCCTGGAGTGAGGAGGGGAAGGGGAGGCTCCCCACCCCCAGCCAGGGGTTTGGGGTCAGGGCTACCTGAACAATATCCCGCTCTGCAAAGCGCCCCCGGGAGGACACGCGCACGTCATCGCCATCCAGCTCTTCCATTGCTGTGGAGAAGAGCCTCCCTTTTAGAGTCATGACAGTGCTTTAGGGCTGCAGGGAAGGCCTACACGTGCGAGACCTTGTTACAAGTTATCGAGGGGCAGGGGACAGGGTCTTGCTAGGTAGTCTAGGCTGGGCTTGAACTCACAGCAATCTTCCTGCCTCAGCCTTCAGAGCCCTGGGATTATAGGCATGTGTCACCATGCCTGGCATATTATTATTCCTCTGCCTTTCCACACCCTCCATCCCCAAGGAGTGGAGGAAAGGGTTACTATCCCCACCTTGGTTAGGAAGAGGGCACTGTGTATGGTCCCGAGGCATCCACCCCATCTTCCTGGAGGCAGGCCTGTGTGCCCAGACCCAGCCTGCTCCCCAGGCCATGCCCTCAGCCCCCTCCTGGGCTCCCCAGCCTGTCTGACTCACCCTCGAACATGGCAGGCCCCACTCCGACGATGATGATGGACATGGGCAGGGAGGAGGCCTGAGGGAGAGAGGGCCATGGGGCGAGCGGCCGTGCAGGGAGGCCACTGCACACATATCTGGGGCTGAGGCTCTGGGATGCTTTGCTCCAGACTTTTCTTTGTGAAGGACATGTGTGTCAGGCAGCCCTGAATCTACTATCTCCCTAGAGCAGTGGGCAGGTTTACTTATTATCTAGAATCCTTTGAGTTTCCCACAGGACAGAGGGGGTTCATGACCCTGCCCACTGGAAGAGACAGGCATCCCCAGGCACAGTGCCACCTGGCCATCTCTGCACCATCCTGTGCAGCCTGGCACTTAGGCACAGTGCAAAGGCCAGCACTACAGGCTGCTGCTTCTGCTGGAGTAAGAGGGCCCCCTGCCTCTCTGTGGAAGTCCTATGTCCTCAGCCAGTGTCCAGGAAGCTGGTGGGCTTGCTTTGCAGGTTTTGAGAAGGACAAAGCCTGTCCTTGGAGCTGGAAGTGACCCCTTCCTGGCAAGCCTCCTCCCCGGACTCACGCTGACGATTGCTTCTTTGGTCTGTGTCATGTCAGAGATGACTCCGTCTGTGATGATGAGGAGAACATAGTACTGGGAGCCATCAGAGATCTTGGCTGCAGCCCTGCATAAGAGGCCAAGATCAGAATCCAGCCATGAGCCCAAGAGGCCGAGTAACCATACCAGCCCCTAGCGCCCATAGTTGGCTGGGAGTGGGACAAGACCAACTCGGTCCCCAGCCCCACTGCCCACCCTGCCTGCCACTCCCCATTGTTTACTGAGCTCTTCTTCAAGGAGGCCCTGGAGACACGTAGGGAGGAAAAAGCAAATCTTGCCAGGCCTTTCATGGGAGATTTCCAAAACTGCACAAAAAGCCACAAAACCACCACCATGAGCGTCCTGCATGGCAGAGTCCTGAGCTGGTCCTGAAGGTGAGCGAAGCCTCTGTCAGGAGTGATGTCTAAGGAGGAGGAAAGGCTACACGAGGGGATTCACTCTGGCTTGGTGTTGAACAGCCCTCGGTGGCGGGAGGCCGAAGCCCACCCAGTCTAGAGACGGGATGCTCAGCAGCAGAGTGGTCCATGTTAGGGACACAGGGACAACTTGAAAGATCCTGATGTTTACACAAGGGCAGAAGCAAGTGGAAAGCTCCCGCTCCCCACTTTCCCCTTTGACTCTTTCCTCTCTGACACCATCCACTGGGCTTTGAGGGTTTAACAGCTAATCTGAGGCTTGGAAAAGGAGTAGGTAATGTGTGTGTGTGTGTGTGTGTGTGTGCGTGCGTGTGTGTGTGTGTGTGTGTGTGTGTGTGTGTGTGTGATGGAACAGGAAAGGGAACAGTGGTCCAGGGGGCTGGTGAGTGTATCCTAGGGGTCACAGGAGTCTGGCAGAGGAAGGTAGAGTTGGCACAGTGGGGCCCACAGAAGGGACTTGAGTGCTGTGGCAGGGGACACCCTGCAGGGACGGGGATATGGGAGGTAGCTGCAGGCTCCCTATAGTTCCTTGCATTCCTGATGCCATCTCTGCAAGGTGATTGTGTGGGGTAGGACAGGAAACAATGGGGCATCATTTGTGATCACTGTATCAGAGCTGCAGTCCTGACAAATGTGTCTGATTTAATCCTCACTGCCACCCTATTTTTAATACTGGGGATCGAACGCAGGGCCTTCAAAATGGTAAGCCACATTCCTCCCTTTTTAATTCCTTGAGAGGATTTGATAAGTTGCCTAGTCTGGGCTCAAACTTGTGATTCTTTTGCCTTAGCCTCCCAGAGTGCTGGGATTATAGGACTGCAACCACTGGGCCCAACTCCCAATATTTAAAATGAAAAAACTGAGCTGGGCATGGTGGCACACGCCTGTAATCCCAACACTTGAGAAGCTGAGGCAGGAGGATCACTGTGAGCTTGAGGCCAGCTTGGGCTACAAAGTGAGTTCAAGAACAGCCTGGAAAAAAAAAAAAAAAAAAAAAGAACAGCCTGAATAGCCAGGGGTATAGTTCAGCGGCACAAGTGCCTGCCTAGAAAGTGTAAGGTCCTGAGTTCGATTCCTGGTACCAAAAAAAAAAAAAGAATAGCCTGAATTATAAAGTGAGACCCTGGCTCAATCCCTTACCCGTCCAAAAGAGAAAACTGAAGTTCAGAGGCTTTAAGTAGCATCCCCCAGTAGCAGGTGTAGGCTGGAGTCCAACTCCTGCTTGACCAACTGAGCCTCACACCTAGCTCTCGGCCTCTGCTTCCATTTCAGGCCTGCATGTTGGGTGGGTGCCACATCGACCCACAGACCACATGGTGTCCTGATCCCCTCTCTGCCTCTGTGCCTTTCACCTGCCACTTCTCCCGCCGGGCCGCTGGCTCTGCTTCCTCCTGGCCCCACTAGCAGTGCCCTCCCTGTCCTTTCCTATTGTCCCACCCCACAGGGTGCTGAGGGGAACTCGAGGCTGCTTTCCTCCTCCTGCACCAAAAGGTGGCTACAGCCGGCTGACCAAGAGCATTCACAGTGCAAGCACAGATGCGGTGGGAGGAGAATGTAAAATTTGTGTAACGTTTTAAGAAGAAATATGGACACTTCAAAGACTTCATCAGCCTGGTGGCTTTCAGCTGTGCTCCCGGGACCCCCAGGGGAGGTCAGGCAACTTGCTGGAGAAACCTGGGAAGCTCTGGCTACGGAAGGGAATGATTTATTTATAGGCCTGTCTGTTGCACCAAGGCAGGAGCTCCGAAGGGCAGGACCAGGCTGATTCATCCGCAAGTCCCCGGGGCCCCACAGAGAGGGTGGAAAGGCAGCTGTTCTCTGAATGGCAATGGAGGTGATAGCAGGAACAGCAGCAGCCAATCCCGCCAGAACCTGGGGGTGAGCGCTGTGTCATTCAGTCCCACAACAGCCCTGGGATGCAGTGATGATCATTGTTCTCATCTTACGAAGGAGGAAACAGGCAGAGCAGGGTTCAGAGTCCCGACCAAAGCCACCCGGCAGAGTAAGCAGCAGCCCTGCTGTGGCACGAGTTGGGCCGCGGAGCCCATGCCCATGCCCATGCCTATGCCTGCTGCCCCTTTATAGACTGTTTGCCTGGTGAATGGATAAATGAACTGGGCAGCTGCTGCCCGAGATGATATGTAAGAAGTCTGGTTAATGAAGATAAAAAATAGACTCCAATATTGGTGGGAAAAAATAGTACTGAAATATTATGTGTAATTTGACTACAATTATAGAAGTATAAATACTAGCCAGGCATGGTGGCTCATGGTTGCTCCTGTGGTCCCAGCACTCTGGGAGGCTGAGGCAGGAGAATCCTAGTTGAATCCTAGACTGAGCAACTTGAAAACTTAGCTGACCTTAGGGACTGGGGATTTAGCTCAGCGGCAAAGCGCCTGCCTGGCAAGTGCAAGGTCGTGAGTTCGGTTCCCAGTACCGGAGAAAAAAAAACAAAAAAAAAAAAAAAAGAAAGAAAACTTAGCTGACCTTATTCAGAACACACACACACACACACACCACAGAAAAGACTGTCAAGAATGCTATATGTATCCATATTCCATAGGTAGTACTCAGGGTGATTCCTTTTTTTTCTTATTTTTGCAGTGCTGGCGATTGAACCTATAACCTGTGCATGCTAGCCAAGTATTCCACTGTTGAGCTACATCACCAGTGTGCACCCTGCCCTTAATTTGGAAATATGATCTTGCCGGGTTGTTCAGCCTGGATTCCAGTTTGGAGTCTTCCTGCCTCAGTCTCCCAAGTAGCCAGGATTACAGGAATGTGCCACTGTGCCCAGCTGTGATTTCTTATTTCATTTTTCTATTCTTGTTTGTTTGTTTTGTTTTGTTTTTCTTCTGGTACCAGGAATCAAACTCATGACCTTGCGCTTGTCAGGCAGGTGCTGTGCCACTGAGCTAAATCCCCAGCTCCTCATTTTTCTATTCTTGAAACAGTCTATAGCAATATTATATTATTTTCATAATCAGAATAACTATTAGTCTCATTATGAATCAAAAAACAAACAAGCAGGTGTGATGGCACACGCCTATAATCCCAGCACCCAGTAGACTGAGGCAGGAGGATCACCGCGAATTCAAGGCCAGCCTGGGCTACAAAGTGAGTTCAAGGTCAGCCTGAACTGCATAGCAAAACCCTGTCTCAAAAGAAAGAAAGAAAGAAAGACCAGATTTATTTCTTAAATTTCTGAAGACAAGGGTCTTTTAAGCTCAATCACTGCTAATCCCATTTATGTTTACTGATATATGCTTAGTTTTAGTTCTGTAATTAATATACTTTTAAAACCCTCTTTGTTTTTAAAATTATTTGATATATGACCTGTATTTTCTGTGCTTTGCACATTTTTGAAAGTCTGGATAGTTTTTAATCTTCCATTTATCAAGCTCTTACTCCAGGCTGACACTGGGCTAACCCTCTGGCCGGGCTCTCTGATGACTGTTATCTAACCTGACAGCAGCCTTTTACAGAGGTGTTCGGAGCCGCCAGGGCTCTCTGGCACCTTCACCCCTGGAAGATGGGTTCTTTTCTGTCTCATGCAAGCTCCAGGCCAGGCTGTCGCCCCAACGGAGCAGCTTGGAATAGATCACCCCATGGTGAACAGCTGCGTAACTTCTCTGTCCCAGAGGCGGGCCAGCACGGTGCCCGGGAGTCAGTTAGTCCCCTGCTGGGGTCCCCAAAGTCTCTGAGCCCTCCTCTTACCTGGCCACCTGATTGATGACTGGAGCGAAGTAGGTGGGGCCATAGAGCTGCACAGTGCGCAGGCTCTGGAAGTAGCTCTCCAGCACCCCCTCAATACCAGCACAGTTGGGGTCCTCATCGTTGTTGTTCTGGGGAGGAAGACACGCTGCTGAGCCATGCTGAGCCCGGAGTCTTAGTCCTTCCTTGCCCCCAGGGTCACACATGTTCCCCTCCCACACTGCACTGCACCCTCGCCAGCCTCATGGCCCCTGGGGCCCTGCCCTCCCGCGTAGGCTCCCAGCCCACACTGTACCAGGGGGAACTGGTGGGAGATCCGGCCCTCAGGGGGCAGCTTGGCCCCGAAGCCATAGGCTGGGAAGAGCTTGTCACTGTCGTAGTCCTGGATGATCTCTCCTACTGCCTTGAGGGCCAGGGCATAGGCGCTGAGCTGGTAGGGGCTCATGTAGTGCAGGGACGTGGGCTGCAGGGGGTTTCCTGCGGGCAGAGCAGGGCTCCTGAGTCCTGCACCTGCTCCCCTCTCATTCACTGTGGCAGTGGGGTCCCTTCTGCCCTGCCCACACTCTGCCAGGGTGCTCCCTCAGGGTCCCCAAGGCCCCACCTGTGCCCTTTTACCTGTCCCCACCCTCCTACCCTCTCTCTGCCCATCTGTGCAACCCATGTACTCATCTACCCTGGCACCTGGTAATCAGGCCACTTCACTTAGTTTACTTAACTATTGCTCCCCACGGCTCAGCTGGCACCCAGCCATCCACACAGCCCCAGGCATCTGCTTACCCACTTGCCATTCCTTTCCATCCCATCCGTCCTCGGAGCCATGTCATCCTGAGGCAGCTAGCCAACCCTGCTCATCCCATTGCTGCACGTGTCCACTCGAACTGGGACCCGTTCACCCGCACACTGGCTGCTCCCTTTCCTAGGGCCTGTTACTTCCCTATCTGACCACCCATCGCCGTCTATGTGTCCCTCATCCTGGACAACCTACTGTCCTCACTCAACAACCATCAATTTGCTGTCTGTTCATTGATTTCCCTTCCCTTCTGTCTGTTCATCCTCTTCCCTTCCATCCTTCCGTTTACCTGCCGGTGAGGACACAGTTAGAGGAAACCATCTATCCATTTGTTTTCCTGCACCTTTCTGACCAGCTGCATGCCATCACTTCCCTCCTGCATGCCTGCCCAACTGACATCTGAGGCATGCTCCAGGCTCCTCGGCTAGGGAAACACGTATCCTAGGCAGGAGTCCAGGCCAGTCCTGGGAGACTCCCTCAGAATCCCCCCGCTGCTTGTCCTCCCCCACAGGCCTCACCATTGGAAGCTGTGAAGTCAATCGCCACTGTGAAGTTCAGCTGTGTCCTGTGGAGAAGCAGATGGGATGAGCAGCGAGGGGCAAATAACTGTTCTCTCTCTTTCACGCTCTCTCTGTATTTGTGTGTTAGGGATTGAACGTAGGGTCTTGCACATACTAGTTAAGTGCTCTACCACCAAGCTACATCCCTAGTCCCTTTTTAAATTTTATGTTTATTGTTTTTGAGACAGGTTCTCATTGTGCAGTTCAGACTGGCCTTGAACTCACTAAGTAGCCCAGGTTGGCCTCAAACTCATAGCCATCCTCCTGCCTCATTCTCCCAAGTGCCGGGAGGGACATGCCTGGCCTTAAATTTAAAAAAAAAAAAAAAAAAAAAAATCTGAGACAGAGTCTTGCTAAGTTGCCCAGGCTGGGCTAGAACTTGTGATCCTCCTGCCTCAGCCTCTCAGGTAGCTGAGGTGACAGTCCTGCACCACTGCATGGCCCCACCAGTGTTTCTCACACATTACTGTGTATATAGAACACCTGGGGCTCATGTTAAAATGCAGAGTCCAGTCCAGACAGTCTGGGTGCAGTCAACAAACCCCAAATGCTGCTGATCCATGGACTGAATTTTGGGTACCAGAATTAAATGCCTACTCTGTGACAGTGTGTTAGAGGAAACTGAACTTAACCCCTGCTATAGCCCCAAAGCAGTGATTAATGCCTCCATTTTACACAGGTGAAAAGTGTTTCAGCGAAGCAAAGTTCATTTCCCAGATCTGCCTGCCTACAACGAACAAACTACAAGTCCCCTCTGTTAGTAATCAGCTCAGTTCTCCCTCTCTCCTGGCCTCTTCCTGTCCATCCAGAGCTGTGTGTGCTGGACAAGGGCCCCAGGACTCTGCACAAGCTAAGCCCGCTATGCGCCTGAGCTACACCCACCCCAGCCACAACTGTTCTCCACTCCATCCAGGTTCCTGAGGACCTTCTGGAGCCTCTGCTCCAGCAGCTGCCCTCTTGGGGGACCAGAAGCTGAATGCAAGGCAGTGCAATAAACAGAACTAAAAAGGCAGCTGTGTGCCCTCTACAGAACACTTTACAGTTTGCCTAGTACCTCACAGTTCATCACCATGATCTCACTCATAAATAAGAAAACCGCTGGGCATGGTGGCGCATGCCTGTAACCTCAGCACTCAGGAGGGAGGCTGAGGCAGGAAGAGTGTCTTCAGTTTGAGGCCAGCCTAGGCTATGTAGTGAGTTCAAGGCCAGCCTGCCCTATACAGTGAGACCCTGTCTCAAAAACAAACGAACAAAGAAACAAATTTAAAAAGGGACTAGGGATGTAGCTTGGTGGTACCGCACTTGACTAGTATGTGCAAGACCCTATGTTCAATCCCTAACACAAAAATACCGACCCTGTCTCAAAAAAATAAAACAAAACAAAAAAAACAAAAAAAGAAAAAGAAAAGAAAACCCATCCCTGGGCTTTCACCCCGGAGCCTGGCATGCCACTCACCCTCCCTTGATGTAATCGACAAAAGTGAATTCAGAGTCCACTGAGAAGGACAGCAGCGTCACCTGCGGGACAGAAGAGGTGGCCCTGCCACTTGGGAAGGGGGACACAGAAAAGCTAAGGAGAGTTGTTAGGTGGTGAGTGCATGACCTGTTCTTTCTTTTTTGGTCTTTTTGAGACAGGGTCTCGCTATGCAGTTCAGGCTGGCCTTGAACTTACTTTGTAGTCCAGCCTGGCCTCAAACTCACAGCAATCATCCCGAGTGCTGGGATTACAGGTGTGCGCCACCACACCGGGTTACCTATTCACTTTCTAAAGGCAGTATTTCAATAGGTGTATTAAATTTGGAAATGCAACCCAAATTTTTTGGTTGCTTCTTTCATTCTGCCAAATGTAAAGGTAAAAACAAAACAAAACAAAACCCTGCAGTGACTCCCCCTTGTGGCCAACATTGCTATGACTCGGTGACAGGCGCCCGCGGCCTGTCTGTGCGCTGGGGTCACCGTCTGGACGAGGCGGGGGGACGGGCGCCCGGGGAGCGCTCACGGTTCCCGAGTTGACGTATTTCTTCTTCTTGCATTTCTTCCGGGGGTTCAGCACCTAAGCGGAGGCAAACGACAGCGTGCGGAAGCCGGCGGGCTTCGGGCCCAGCGGGCCGGGGTGGGCGCGCTCACCTCGTACACGGTGAACTGGCTCTGGGCCCTGCTCAGCTCCCGGTAGCTGGTGGTGAACTCGCCAATGAAGTCGTGGCTGCAGCGAGGCGGGGTGGTTAGCGCCAGGCCGGCATCCCGGCCTCCCCTCCCCGCTTGCGTGCCTAGCTGGGCTCGAGGCAGCAGGGTTGGGACCAGAAAGGGAAAAGGCGAGGTGACAGGTGCCAAAGAAAGATCCCCAAGACCCTGGCGTGGATCGCACCTCGCTGGCGCCCAGGCTGCGTGGCTTCCTAGGGAATGGCCACGTGTCACAGAGCACGCTGGGTCAAGCTCAGGAAAAAGAGTGCTGCGAGGCAGTTTTACCTTCCGTCTCGGTCCCAGTCATACACGTCAATCTTCACAGTTCTGAAAGGAGGGGAGACACGGGCTGAGGCACCTGAGGAGTCCTAGAGACCCGCTACCCCTTCAGCCAGGTAAGTAACTTTCTCCCTTGCCCATCTGTCTTTTCATCCACCTGTTCAACCTCCCTCCCATCCTTCCATTCACCATTTCACTGAGCCTTGCTGTATCCTAGCCATTGTTCTTAGTGCTTTCACAGATACTCATTCCTTTCCTCCTCCGATTTACCACGGTGGATTGAATCCAAGGCCTTTATGCTGAGCTCCATCTCATCTCAAGTGCTTTGTATTTTTTCTTTTGAGACAAGGTTTTGCTAAGTTGCTCAGGTTGGCTCAAACTTGTGATCCTCCTGCCTCAGCCTCCCAGAGTGCTAAGATTATAGGCATGTGCTATCACATCTGGCTAGACTGTCAATTTAATTTACAACCACTCTGCATAAAATAAATACTATGATTCATGCTTTTGGATATGGAAATTGAGATTCAGAAAAAAAAAGTAACCTGGTTATGATCCCATCCCTAGTAAGTGACTGAGCTGATACTTTTTTTTTTTTTCTGAGTCAGGGTCTTGCTATGTGGTTCAGGAGCTGGGCTTGAACTTACTATGTAACCCATCCTAGCCTTGAACTCTCGGCGATCCTCCTGAGTGCTGGGATTACAGGCATATACCACCATGCCCAGCTGAGATGATAATTAAACTCCAACATCTAGGTTCCAAAGACCCGTTCTTCACTAGCATGCCTACATGTCTCTGTCAGTATATCAGTCCATCTAATCATCTATCCATCTAGCCACCCATTTACCCATATATTTGCCAACTCAATTACCTATTAATCAATTTCTTTTTTTTTTTAATTTTTTTTTTTTTTTTTGGTTTTTCTCTGGTACCGGGAACCGAACTCATGACCTTGCGCTTGCCAGGCAGGCGCTTTTTGCCACTGAGCTAAATCCCCAGCCCCCTAATCAATTTCTTTATCCAACTATACATGTAGCCACTCACAGACTCACTGATACCAGTGCCCTGTAGGTCTATCTATTCATCTCCCCAACCAGACACCAACAGACGTAACACCTGGTCACCCATTCATTTGCATAGCCATCCCTCCACCTCCTACCTATCCACTGACTTTCATACTACCCATTCATTGATTCTCTCGGTCAGCCTATCCATGTACCTTACACTCATCCACCATCTCATCCATTCATCCTTCCTTTTACCATCCACCCATCCATCAACCTGCCACTGTCTTTTACCATCCACTGTCTTTTCTACCCACTTGCTTTTGTATTCATCTACCCATATCCTTCTCCAGTCATCTGCCGACTCACACACTCATTCATCAGCTCATCTGTCCATTTATTCAGCCATCTGCTCCGCCCTTCGTCCAGTTATCCCTCCATCTCTCTCCAGCTGTGCATCTTGAGCTGTGCCGATCACCAGTTCTCGCCCGCGTCTGTCCACAGGCAGCCATTTCCCAGCGTACCCGTGCTCTGGACGCCTCTCCATGCACCTACACACCCATGTCCTCATCTGCCCACTCGTCCGCCCAGTCCATCACACTGAGGCCCAGAAGCCTCAGTCCTGGTTGCCCCGAGTCCTGGTTGCCCTCCTCCCTGGCCTGTGCCAAAGCAGACCTGTCGTAGTCTCCGTTGCACAGTGCCCTCACGGGGATGCTGAAGGGCTGCCACACGGGGTTCAGGGTGTTCTTCACAACCTCGGTCTTGTGGCAGATAGTGAACCTGGAGGGAGCGAGAGGCCTGGAACCCGCCCTGGGGTCACTGGCCCTCAGCTTCCCCGAGTGTGCTGCTCACGCCCCCTGCTGAGCTGGGGGCTGAGCAGGCGGTGGCTCACGTGCCGTCCTCATTGCTCCTGTAGAACACGAGGAAGGGGTCCGACTTGCCAAAGAAGTCCTTCTTATCCAGCTTGTTCGCACACAGCTGCATGGTGGCAATGTCCTGGGGAGGGGGAAGGGTGGACCTTACTCTCAGTCTGCTACAGGGCGTGCGGCGGAGAAGGGGGCTCCTGCGTCTAGCACGAAGCCCTACTGACCCGGCAATTGCTGAGCTCCTCTGCTGTCAGCAGGATGCTCCCACACTTCTTGCCTGGTACACCACTGGAGGCAGAGAAAGCCACTGAGCGAGAGCAGGGTCGGAGACAGGACTGGAGCACCAGGCTGCGGCTGGGTGGCCAGGGCTCCAATCCACCACTCCCTGACAGCCCCTGGGGGTGCAGCCCTGTGTGCCTGCAGGCAGCCTGCTGCTGGACACTTAGCTGTGACTTGGGAGGGTTCTGTATCCGGCAGGAGGGGACAAGTGGCCTAGGGAGGCCTTCTCATCACCAGAGCATGAGAGAGCTGGGATTACACTCGGTGGCTCAGGCTGGACGTTCCAAGTTCTAGCTGTGTATTACTTGCCCTTTCTGCTTCTTTCCCACTTTTCTCACAGCCACCGTGAAGTTGTTTGAATGAGTTCATGGACGGACAGGCAATTTCTTCCTTCCTTTGTTATTTTTTTGTTGTTGCTGTAGTAGTGGGAGTTGAACCAGGGGTACTCTACCACCGAGCTATATCTCCATCCCTTTTAAATTTTTTCCACCCACGCTTTTAGTATTTTACTTTATTTTGAGGCAGGGTCTCACTTGCCCAATGTGGCCTCAAACTTTCAATCCTCCTGCTTTAGCCTACAGAGAAGTTGGGATTACAGATGTTTACCACTATGTCCCTTAGAAAAGCAACTCATAAGCATGTAAGCCGGGGTATGTTATGTTCTTCAGTGTCCATCCTAGTGCCCGCCACATGGCACTGTGATGCCAGGTGGTCCCTGGGGAGGTGGTGCTTGCCAGTTCTGTGGGGCCCCACCCACTGGGAGTTCCAAGGAGGAAGTGGGACACTGAGGCTCACAGGAGGCAGCAGTTCCGAGTGCTGGAGAGGCGTTTCCACCCGGACCTATGGTAAAAGGCTGGCTTGTTAGGTCAAAGTTGCTGAGCTTTCTGAAGACAGTGAAAAATGAGATGAAAAAAGACAAGGCAGCCAGATGTGGTGTGAACGCCTATAGTCCCAGCACTTGGGAGGCTGAAGCAGGAAGATTGCCACAAGTCTGAGGACAACTTGGGCTATACAGAGAGACCCTGTCACAAAAAAGGTACCTTATCCCTTCGGAGCCCAATGACATTCCACCCATGAGATTAAAGTGCATACCTGGCTCTAACTTGCTGTATGATTTTTTTCTACCTTTAAAGTGGCAGCATTTCTAGGTGTGGTGGCTCATGCCTGTAATCTCAGCAGGAGTGGATGAGGCAGGACTGTCCACCTGCACAGCAGACCGAGAAGCCTTGCTGCTTGCTGCCTGACTCTCTGTGTCCCCTCCCACCTGGCCCATCGAGCTGCCTGCAGGGGTGAGGACTGTTCCTTCTCTGCAGGCTGCCTCCTTTCTGCTCCCTCCCTCTCTGCAAGCACACTTATTTCAGGACCACAGCCTGGGAGATCGGCCTGGGAGATCGATGTCTGCCTCACCTTTGCTGCACCCACGCACTGAATGCTGTCTGCGTGGCACACAGCCACACGGACGGCTCTCGTGTGTAACCACGAGCCTCCAGAGGGATAGCCACACTGCATCCCCAGCCTAGCTTCAGCTTCCTGCTGCAGTTGGTCCTGGCTTCCCTCCGAGCTGAGCTCCGAGCTCCTCCCCCAGCTTCACTTTCAGCCACGACCTCATTTCTACTCACTGACAAATGTAAGCACCCAGAAGAGAAAGTCCCCCCGTTGCCACCCACCCTGGCGTCTGTGGTCACGCAGCTGCGCCTTCCTGCAGCTGGGAAGGAGATGTTCCTGTGTGGCACCTCTATGCCAAGCACTACACCATCTACCCCGCCTTGCCCATACCAGGACTTGACTCCAGGACCCCTCCCTCTTGCACAATATCAGCTTCTAGTGGGTCACTTGCTCATCAATATACACATGGTGCAATTTTTCTCATGTTAAAAAATTACAAATGTGGGGCTTCAGTGTGGTTCAGTGGTAGAGAGCTTGCTCCCCATGTGCTAAGCCCTGGGTCCCAGCCCCAGTACGGGTTGGGGAGGGGTGCATGCCTGTGATCTCAGGGAGGCTCTGAGAGGCTCCCTGGGAGGGAGGGAGGCCACTCCCTTTCCTCCACAGAGGAAACCGCCCTATGGAAGTTGGATCTGGGGAGGGCAGGAGCAGGGAAGTCAGGAAAGCTAAAGTTAGGGCCTGGTCGGAAGGTGAGGAGTGGTCTGGGCCCGCGGACTCCTGCGGACAGGAGCCAGGGACAGGGCCACCCCAGCCATGACCAGGCCCTGACCTGGAGGGAGGCCACTCTGGGAGGCTGAGGCAGGAAGATCGCAAGTTTGAGTCCAGCCCGGGCAACTCAGTAACTTAGTGAGGTCCTGTCTCAAAATAAACAAAGAGTTGGGGGGATGTGGCTCAGAACAAAGGCTCTAGGTTCAATCCCCAGTACCACAAAGCGACAAGAACAACAAGCTATTGTTGACCTCATTTCCTGCTCCAGTCATTTCTCCTTTTTTTCCTTCGCATTCAAATTCTTTGAAAGATCCCTTGGCTCCTAGTTCCCTCTTTCATTCTCTTCCAAACCTCTCCAGCCTCTACTTTCCTTCCAAACCATGCTTGTCTGTGTCCCTGATGATCTCTGTCTTGCTAAATCCGTGGCCAATTCCCAGTCTTCCATTTATTTGACTTGCAGCAGCATTTGGAGGCCTTGCTGCTTGTCCCCGAAGTGCTGGGGTGAAACTCAGGGCTGCGTGCACCCTCAGTATGCAGGCCTACTAAGCTGTACCCCCAACTCCCTTGTTTTAAAAAAAGGGCACAATTTTTTTTACAACATGGTCATTTTTGTAAGAGTGGGGTCTGTTCCTAAAGCACAATTCTATTTAAGTCTTTTTTTTTTTTTTTTTTTTACAGAAATTACTATTATGGCCGATATGAAAAATATCTTTATTTGTTTTTTTGGTTATTTTTCCCCTGTACTGGGAACCAAACTCATGACTTGTGCTTGCCAGGCAGGTGCTGTGCTGTTGAGCTAAAGCCCCAGCCCCTGAAAAATATCCTTAGTGCTGCAAGACTCCCATGGCAAACATCAGACTCCTGTACTTACTCAGTTATATGCCCTCAGTAGAAAATAAAAAGTCTTGACAACATTGGTTTCTTAAGAAGAAAGGCAGGTAAAGGGATGAACAAGTCTTATGGGAACTCTCATTTCCCGTAGCCCACTGGAAACCCCCACTCAGTATTGAATAAATATGTCCACAATCTGACCACTTCTCTCCTCAGTCCTGTGACTACAGTTGCCTGCTAATTGGCTCCCCATGGCTCCATCCCTGGGCCCGAGTTTATTCTCACCTGGGACAGCATGGTAGCCCTGTCATGAGATTCCTGTGGTGCCGACCAGGCCCTAACTTTAGCTTTCCTGACTTCCCTGCTCCTGCCCTCCCCAGATCCAACTTCCATAGGGCGGTTTCCTCTGTGGGGGCTACTGTTCCCCACATCTGCACCTCCTCACCTCCTTCAGGCTGCCCCACCTCCCACCCACCCACGTTTCCTTTCTCCCTCCTGGCTGCTCTGCTGCCTTTTCTGTCTATGTGATTTCCTCACTATTAAGTCTGTTTTGCAGTTGCACACTTGCACTAGAGCCCCAGCTCCCCCGAGGTCAGCGACCCTGGCACAGTTTACCATGGTGACTCTGACCCTCACCCAACACTGGCTAACAGAGTGGGTGCCCAGTAGGACCGCTGGAGCAGGCGAAACCTCGGTGCCTAGAACAGGGTCTGGTGTACAGATGGGGCCAACAAGGCTTTCGATTTAGGCAGGGAAGCTGCCCAGGGGAGAGGAGCTTGGAAGGGGGCTTTAAAGGTTGAATGAGACTTAGAGACAAAGTGGAGAGAGAGAAACATCAGGCCTGAGGCTGGTGTGAGCAGTGCTCTAGACATGAACTTTCTCACGGGAGTGACAGGAGCCAGGGACAGGGCCACCCCAGCCATGACCAGGGTCACAGCACCCTGGGGAGGAATTCGGAGGCACTGCCTGCCCGACCCGTCCCATCGGCTCACGTGAGGGCTCGCTCCACGCGGCTGCCCTGGCCTCCGATCACCTCTCCCAGCGCCAGGAACGCGTGTCCCAGGAAATCCTGTGCGGGACACGGGGTTAGCGAAGCCGGGCGGCACTGCTCTATCGGATCCGCGGGTGGAGCTGATGGGAGCAGAAGTCCGCGGGCCCAGCACCCACTCCTCACCTTCTGCGCGTCCAGCGGGTGGCGGGGAGGAAGAGAAGCAGGCGTGAGAGGCCGGGAGGGTAGGTCTAGAGGAGGCTGGGCCATGTGAACGCACGCGTTCGCTTACCGGCTTGGAGATGTTGGTTCTGGAGTCGACGTTGTACCTAAGAGGAGAGTGGGCCGGCGTGGGGTGGGCGGGGAGAAGCTGGGAAGGGCCTGGCTGGACCCTGGGGTCACACTGCAGGTGGAGGGAGGGTCCGCGTGGACGAAACTGCATGAGGACCTCCTTAGGGCGGTCGGAGCCGTGGGGGTGGAATCCTGTGGTCGGGGGAGGGGCAGAGGCGGGGCCCAGGTGGAGGACGGAGCCAGATCAGGGGATCCGGGGCGGGACCGGGGCGGGCTGGGGCGGGGCCTCACACATCGAAGCGCAGGTTTTGCTTCTCCTCAAAGAAATAGTCGAGGACGAATTTGCGCAGGAAGTCCGGGTTGAGCGTGTTGTCGATCACCTCGGTCCGTCCGAACTGGCGGGGGGACGCAGATCAGCGCGGGGCCGGGGTTCGCGAGCTTCTGGGGGGGCGGCACTCACCTCCCGCCACTCCTGGCTGGCGCGGCTCTGCGTGTACAGCACCACCACTGCGGGTGGGGGGCGCTCAGTGAGGCCCGCCCCACCCGCCGCACCCCGGGCCCTTCCGACCCCGCAGTCGCTTACTGGGGTCGGACTTGGAGAAGGTGTCCAGGTCCAGCAGGTTCCTGGAGAGGAGCGAGGGATGGACGCGGGAGGACGGTGCTGAGCCCGCCGCCTTGACCCGGATGGAGGCGCGGGGCTAGGGATCGCACCTCCTGGACGGACCCCGCGCCGGAGCCAGAGCGGGCATGCGCCGTCAGCACCCCGGACAGCGCCACCCCCTTCCCGGGCCCCTCAGAGAGCAAGGGCGCGTACCTGCCCACTCCGCCTTCGGGCCGGGGGAGGGTTCGCCCCAGAACTTTGCCGTCCTGGGCCCAGTACCCCCGGCCCTGTGGCGTCCCCGGAGCCCGTGCACGGAGCCCTTTTCTGGGGCAGAGCTGCTCGAGGCGCCCCCAGTCCCGGCCGAGCTCCTTTGCGACCCCCTCCCGGTGCAGCCCTGCCCGCGGCGCCGGAGCCTGCCCTCGGCGGCCCGCTTACCGGCAGGACACGGTGATCTCGATCTTGGTGGCCGGGACGCTGCGCTCCGAGGCTCCGCCGAGGGACATGGCTGGTGGAGTGGCTCCCGCCGCGGTTGCGAGCTCTGGGCTGGCTAGGGGCGGCGGCAGTCAGGCCAGCCCATGTGCAGGGCTGCGCTCCTCCGCCTGCGCGCGCTCCTGCCGTTCGCCTTGCCGCGCCGCCCGCCTGCCTGCACCGAGCTCCAGATGGCAGCGCAGCCCCGCCCGGCCCCGCGGGCGGCTCCCGCCCCATTGGAGCAGCCGGAGCTGGCGGGGAATCTCAGCAGACTGCTGCAGCCCGCACCTTGGGAGGTGCGGGGTCCTAACCCCCTACTCAGAGCGGCTGATGGTTCGGAAGTGCGTGGGGTCCCCGCAGGATACTGTGGTCATTACCTCTTTCCTGAGCCTCTCCCTCAACCATCTCTCCCTCTCCCCACTGCAGGCCTTCCTAGGGCTCTGCAACATGAAGTTTACCTTGTTCGTATTAGCTTGTCACAGGGCAAGATCATCACCATCTCTGCTCAGTCACCTGCCAGGCTACACTAGCAGCTACCTGAATACATAAAGTGTTGTCTAGATGACCCAAGGGAAGGGTTTCGCACACTGCCAGCGTTCAGGAACTGTTCACTAGTATTTGGCCTCCAGGTTTTCCCACTGATGACCTCCCTTGAGTTAAGGTCTGAGTAAAGCGCCAGGGATGTAGCTCAGGTAAGCCCTTGGCTACGATGTGTGACTCCAGGTTCAATTCCACAGCACCACCACCAAAAAGTCATTTAAACAGTGGCTTTTAAAGGATTGTGTAACACTATCTGCTCATGCTCTTGCATCCTCTTGATACTCAGGATGCAGTCTACATCATGTCCCTTATGAAGGAGAATGGTGGTCATTCTGGCCTCCCCACCTCACATTGTGCAGACAGTGTTGCTGCCTCTGAAGCCCAGCCGCCAGCATCTCCACCAAGGAAAGAGGGCCCTTAGTGCAGGGTGGCAGGTCATGTTCGCTTTGTCTGCGCTGCCCCGGACCTTGAGGTCCCTCAATCCCAGCAGGCCTTAGCCTGAAATGCAGGCTTTCTTGCTGACTGCAGTCCTTGCCCCTACCTGGTGAGTTCTCTCCCTGCCATGGCTCAGGAGCCGAGGAGCGTATACAAGGCTCCTGTTCTCCTGCACCCCCAAACCAGCACAAGGACAGTGAGGTTCCAGACATCTCCACCAAGACAGCAACCAGGTAAGAATGCAAGACAACAGCTGCTCAAAAAGATTGATTTTATTCTGTGATTGGTGTCAAACAGCCTCATTTTCCGTACAGGTGATCCCTTTCCCAGGAAACTAGAACTGGAAGGTGGGATCCTTCATGAGACCACCGTGCAGTTCTGAGACGTGACGGGTAATCTCCCAGCCACAAGTCAGGAGGCTGGGTGTTGGAAAGCCCTGTCCTTGGCCCTGCTCAGCTTTGGGGCTGTGTGCGTGACGGAGAGAGGGGTGAGACTCCCGATCCCGAAGTGCCCCACGGCCAGGCATGGCTTTGATTCCACTATGGGCTCAGCTAAGTGAGGAGCAGGAAATGGCTTCGTGGAGGTGGTCTCACAGGGTGCTGGTACTGGTACCCCGCAGTCCCACACCTCGGACGAACTGTTCCAGCAGGCCCCCGATGGCCCCTGAAGGGCTGGGGGCTGCTGCCCGAAGCCCTACTGTGCTGCTGTATGCAGCCAGGAAGGCCGAGCGCACCTCTTGCAGCCGCGTTTCCCGATCACTCAGGGCCATGAGCCTGTGGGCAGGGAGAGAAAATGAGTTACCCTGAGAGGGACCCAGCATCCTCACCCCATCCACAGGGCCTATCTTTCATGTCCAACTTGCCAAGCTAGGGTCCAGCCTATGGGCACATGACCCTTGAGATTTAGGTTCCAGTTGGCCCTGACCCTCTTTAGCTGTTCTCAAGTCTAGGGCACTTTTCCCTTACAGTGACTGTGGCTGGAGCTGTGACCCAGGCTCTCTGCCAGGAAGGAAACTACCTCCATGACACATGGCAGACACTACATAAGGGGAACCTACCCTGACCTGTTCCTCAGCAAAAAGCAGCTAAGGCACAAGCCTTACACCCAGCAGTAAGGAGGCCCAGGGATCAGCAGCAGGCTGATGAATGCACAGCTGGAGGGCAGGAGCCAACCAAAAGCCTTCATTTGTTTCTGCAGTAGTAGGGACTGAATCCAGTCCCTCATAGTTGCCACACTGAACTATATCCTTGGCCCTTTTAAAATTTTATTTTTGAAAGAAAGGTTGAAGGGAGGTAGGGGAATGAGGAAATTTAAAAAAAAAAAGGAATCAAGTTATATCATGTACAAATACAAATTCCCTATAATGAATGTAATCATTATGTATACCTAAAATGTACCAATAAATTTAATAAAAAGTAAAATTTTTTCAGGTTTTGCTAAATTGCCCAGGCTGGCCTTGAATTTGTAATCCTCTTGCCTCAGCTTCCTGAGCAGCTGAGATTATAGGTGTTTGCCACTCTACCCACTCTCGGCCACCAGACACATTGTGGGAGGAGACTCTGCCCTGGGAGAACCCTGGCTGCCCCAGGGAATGCAAGGCCTCATAGTGAATACCTCTTGGGCTCCAGCTACACCTCTAGTTCCTGTGATCTCCAGGTCGAGAGCTTGGAAGGATACTGCCTTTCCAGGCAGGGTCTGGGTTCTAATTCTTTTTTCTTCCCACAGCCTCTACAGGCACTGATCACAGAGGGAAGATAGGAAGCCCCTCTTCCCTCCTTACCCTGAAATTATAGGTCAAGGGGAACAAGTACAGGCTCAGGCTTATCATACTGTAAACTCCGCAAGAGGCTGATGTCCAAAGGGTCTTTAATAGAAGAGGCCCTGAAACGAGGTACACCCAACCCTTGGACTAAAGTCAGGCCATGTGCATGATGTCCCCTGGAGGGACTACTCCCTCCTGAGCAGTCTACCAGACCAGTAGCAAGGTCACCAGTTTCCAAGCCCAGAGGGCCTACACCGCAGGGCTGGAGAAGGAGGTGGCAGTGCTGGGTCCCAGGCAGGTGTGGAGAGGACACATGGGCCCCTTGGGAAGTAGACTGGTGGGGGGCATCAAGAGGCAAGCAGAGCAGCAGGCTCCAGGGGAGGGATAGTCAAACAGCTTGCTGGAAGCACTCCTATGACACCATGAACAACCCTGATGTCTCTGCTGACATTTGGGGGGACACAGGGCCCTGACCTTTACTTTTTAGACAGGTTCCACATAGACTGGAAGTCATGTGTGGCTCCAAAAGGACTTGTCTCCATTCACAGAAGGCACAGCCGAAGGTTCTTGCTGCCCTGCTACCAGAAAGCAGAAGGGGCAGAGACTGATCTATTTACACGAGAAGAACAGCACCTGGAAAGGATTTGTGACCCACATGGAGATACACAGTAGGCACAGGAGTGCAGCTCAAGCCTGGGCCGACAGGCTCAGAGAAGCCATGGCTGAGACCTCAGAGCAGCTGGTGAGCAGCGCAGCTGGGGTCTGGACGAAGTTTCCCTGGTAAGAAACACAAACACTGAACCCCCCACTGTGAGACTTCACCAGGAAATGATGTGGATCTCAGCCCATGACCTTGCAGGCTTGAGGGCGCACAAGCTTGCGCCATCCTCTGAGGTGCCCACAACTGCAGGGTTGGCTAGAAGCAAGTGTGTGTTGGGATTGGCCTGGGGATCTGGGGTCAGAGCTGCCTGCCTCCAGGGCTAACTCTGGAGAAGATAAAGGGCAACACCAGACCCGCAGGGAAGTCTCTGCTTCCCCGTGAAGGGCTGGAGAGGGAGGCCCTTCAGAAAAGGGCAAGTGCTTTTTCACCCTCGAAAAATCTAAGAGCTCTTGTTTTCAGAGGCCCTCTAGAAGAGGCCCTTCCCAGCTGCTGGACAGTCCTGGGACTGTGGGCATCCTGAAATCCCAAGGTTTGGCTGGGCCCTCTTTTCCCCAACTGCCCAGGGAACCACCTCCGGCCTGGCAAAACTGGTGCTAGTGGTGTTGACTTCCCAGCACATGCCATCTGACCATGGTATGGAAGGGAAGGCACAGCTTGCAGAAGGGCCCCGCAGGCAGCCACATCTGAGGAGCAGGCCCTGCTCCCCAGGACTCCGGAGGCTCCTCCTGCCTGACATCCAGCAAGCTGCGGAACAGGCAGGGGACAAGAGGCTTCCCCAGGGACAGCCGCTCACGTCAGGCAGAAGCTAACAAGAGGTGAAAGCCGTTTGGGAGGTTTGGAGGAAGAGGGCTCCATAAACATTCAATTCAGGACTCCTGTCCAATTCTCTTTCTTGCCCAGAGGCAAACTAGCAGGCCAGGGTGTCGGGGTGGCCCGGACTCTGCTCAGGATGAGTACAGGCCCCAGCAAGCCCAGCCATTCGGCTCTGGCCTCCAGCATGCTCCTGCCTGCTTGCTCTTGTACCCGACCACTGTGCTTTGAAAGGGTTCTCACACCAGGCAAAACTGTACAGAAACGGCATCCTTGGTAGTTATAGTCCAGCCAGCTTTCCCTCAGTACACCTGACACCCCTGAGGAGGAGTTTGGAGGCTGGAAAGAGTGAGCACAAACCCTAATGAGCTTGCTGAGCAGCCCACCTCAGGGACAGTGGTGCTGCCTCCTTGGCAGGCATGCGTGGCACTGTATCCGGGCAGGGGAGCATCTGCCTTTTGAAGCAAGACACTTACAGACAACTGTTAGGGAGCTCATCCGGGAAGCTGAAAGGGAGAGAGGAGTCTGTGTGCAGGACAGCTCGCTCCTGAATACTGCCACAGCCCGTTACCATCTGCCAGCTGCCAAAGTCTGTGGAGAGAGAGGATCCGGGCAGGGGATGGTCCACTGATCTGGGGCAGAGAGGAGAGAGAGGGGAGATGATGCAGTCAGTCACACGCCTGACAGGGGGCTGGGGGGCATCTGAAAGCCGGCCAAGTTCTCCAGTGACTGAGAAAGAGGAGAAGACCACAGGGAAGGCTCCGCCCAGGATGGTGCACAGTGCAGACTTTAAGAAAGGCCAAGACCAAGGAAGAATGGGGATAAGAGGAGTGCCAGACCCAAAGCCCAGGACTTGGGTGGCCGTGGGCCGACAGCCTCAAGGAAGGCGGACGCTCTGAGCTGCAGGTGCCCAGCACTGAGATCTCACCAGCAAGGACGGCCACAGGGGAGCGTGGAATTGATGACCCAGATTGCAGAAGGGATGGGAGTCCTGAGGCTCCCCTTCCTCTGCATGCAGCCTTCTGGGAGCCATAGTTTGTATTCAGAAGCATCAACCAGGCAAACTCGGCTATGCCCAGAGGGCAGGGATGAACCAGGCCGGCATGAAACTTGACAGCTTCATCAGCCCTCTTCCTGACTAGCCCTGGGGTGGTGTGCGGACAGTCACACTGGCACAGCGGCTGCCATCTCCCCACTCATAACCACCTCCTCTCCTCTGTCCTGGGTGGCAGCCAGCTACCGGGGGAGGAAAGAGATGTCAGCACCCCTGCTCCCAGGCTCCAGGAGCCAATTGTGATGGGGGTAGAGGAGCCCTCGCTGTCCTTGGCCCACCTGGCTATGGGTGTCACGGGCTCCCACGGTGAGGTGACAGCCCCAGCAGCCACTGGGCCAGGCTTCTCCTCAAGCAGGTTCCCCAAGGGCAGCTCTGGCCAGACCCATGGCTCTAGTGAGGCTGAACCACCCCTTTCAGATGGGAAGGGCAGCCCAGACAGGTTGAGAGGCTTGCCCAAGGTTTGCACAGCTGCAGAAGCCATGTTCAGCTGCACACTTGTCCCAAAACAGAGCCGCCTCCAGATGCAGCGAGACAGACAGCTTTCTCCGCTTGGCTGCCATGAATCAGAGCCCCTGCAACACTGCACACCTGGCATGTCCATCTTTCCTGCTCCACTCCGGAAGGAGTTTGAGGCATCACAACCGAGAACAGGGTACACTCTGCTGCTTGAGGGAAGCCCCGGGGCCCCATCATGCAGAACTTGCTTATTTCTACAGGGGAAACCTGGCCAGCTCAGGCAGCTTGCAAACCAGGGCCCCCCCAGGAGAAGCCTACCCTTTGCTCTTTGGGGGCATGGTGGGCCTGCAGCCAGCACAACCCCTGGAGGTGCAGCCTGGCCCCCAGTCTCTCACCATCCCAGCCGCAGGGCAGAGCCTCTTCCAGCTCTAGCTGGCTGGTGGGGTAACAGTCTCCATGAAGCAGAGGGGAGGAAGCTGGGGTGGATGAGGCACTCAGGGCAGGGACATGGGCATTTCTTACACCCCTAAAGCCATTCCTCCAAGGCTATGCTAGTAACACTGCTCCGAGGAAATCCAGACCTCGGGACAGTTACAGCTGTTCCCTGTGATGGTCACCTCCTTTGCCTTCCTAGAGCCCCACAGTAGCACCAGGCAAAAAGGTGCACTGGAGCAGCAAGAGGCAGCTGTGGGACCTACTGGGTGGCACATATAGCACAGGATTCTGACCCTGTGGGACTGAAAGCAGTGCTCAGTGAGCAGCCACTGTTGGTAGATTTTTTTTGTCTTTTTCAGACAGGGTCTTGTTATGCAGTTCTGGCTGGCCCTGAGCTCACTTTGTAGCCCAGGCTGGTCTCGAACTCCCAATGATCCCCTGCCTCAGCTCCTTGAGTGCTGGGATTACAGGCATGCGCCACCACGCCCAGCTTGTTGGTAGATATTGAAATGTTTCAGGAATAAACTCACAGGTTCCAAATGAATGTTCCTACTTGAGATGTCTATCAAAAAACAGTGGCAAAGTAACCATTCTGCTTCTGGATTTGAGAGTAAGGGACCATGGTAAGCAGAGAGGTGCTCTCCTACCAACCTGGGCTAACTGGCTAGATGGAACAGAGGCAAAGGAACAAGTCACAGAGGAGGGAGCTGCATCCACACACTGCTTCCAGTCAGTGAAGGACATAGGTGTACACAGCAGTGTTACCAGGACCCCAGGACATCTGCTTTGTGCTCCTAGCCAAGAGCATGCAGAGCGGCACGGTGAGCTCCCGGATGGACGGGGGAGCCTCTGGCTGGGATGCCAGGGATGCATCCTATCGGTGTGGAGGCCTGGACTTGTGCTCAGGAGCAGGGCTCCCTTGACCTGATACTGCTAGGCTCTTCTTCTGTGGGCCAAGAGGGCCAACTCGGTGTATGGGGTCTTCCAGCCAAGCCTTTCTGGAAGGGGTAAAGCATGCCAAGCCAAGAGGCAGCAGGTCTGGGTGGGGTACCTGGCTTGGCCTTGTACCAAGCTGCCCAGTGCCGGGATTGTGGCCCACAGGGCTGTTAGGTAAGTGACTGATAAGGACAGGTTGTCAACCACAGCTGCAATTTACTGCCATCTGTGGAAAGGCTGAGTATTTACTGTGTAGAGGACGTGCACTCATCTCATTTAAACCCAAACTTAAGGGGGACAGATCATTCCTACTGTAAAAATGAGATTTAAAAAAAACTGAGTTTAGAAGAAAAGTGGTTTTTTTCCAAGTTGCACAGCTGGGAAGGGCAAAGCTGTGACTGAAACCAGGTTGAACCAAAGCCCATCCCAATCAGTAACACACTGATCTTTCCTCCTAACACAGGGTGGGCGCCTCAGGGCTGGCCTGTGGACAGGGATGTGACCTCCAGCCGCAGTACAGTTCAGAGTTTTCCATCCGTGATGAGCGAGCAGGTCCTGCTGCTGGGGCAGGGGTGTGGGAACCCTGAGTAGGCATACTGCAGACTGTTTCCCAGTGGCGCTCACCATGCGCTCCCACTGTTGAAGCTAGTCTGAGATGTGCTTTCTGCTACTTGCATTTGAAGTATCTGTCCTAACAAGGCTGCACAGATGGCTTGAGGTACACAACTAGGAGGGCCTTGGCGTTGCCACCTTCACCTGATTCCACAGATAAGAAAATGGAAGCCCAAAGTCAAGTGACACGTCGAGTCATAAAAGGAACTCGTGCTTAAATCTATACCACCCACCAACTGTCCCTCCCGGCCCCAATACCCACACCCAGGCGCCCAGCATGGGACCTCGCCAGTCTGGCCTCAAACACCGCACATGCACGGCAAAGCGCTCTCCCAGCAGTCTGAGGAGATGTCTCTGGGCTCCATGCCGTCTATCCCAGGTCTGCAACTGGGACTGTCCCTGGCTTCTCACTGTCCCTGCCAGGTCTGGAGCAGTGGCCTTTCACAAGGTCGGACATGAGGCCAGACCCCCTGTACTGTGACAGCAGCCTGGCACTGCATTGCTACAGAGAGAGGGCACTGCTCATCACGAACAGGTGGCAGTGGCTGGGGAGCAGCTGACCACAGAAGGACCGAGTTGGTTCAGCTACTCAACCAGGCTGGGGGTTTCCCTCCGCCAAGCTCCTGTGCTGTTCGGGTAGCCCTGCTGCACTCTGGGCTGACACTGCAGGCCAGCAACCTCCCCAGCCCTATAGCTGTCTGACTGCAGAACACACAAGACCTCCAGTGCAGAGCTGTGCAGATTTGGGGAGGCAAGGAAGCTCGGAGCCCTGGTCCTGCCCCTGCCCCTGCGGCACCATGGCTGACGCTTCTGTGGCAGCTAATTCAATTAGAAATCCACCAGCCTTTCTCGTGAGAGATGTGATCTGGGACATGGTAAGATCAGCACCCTGTGCACACCTGTAATCTCAGCACTTGGGAGGCTGAGGCAGGAGAGTTGCTCCAATTGGAGCCAGACTGGGGTACCTAGTGAGTTCAAGGCCAGCCTGGACTACATAGAACCTAGCTCAAAAAAAACAAAAACAAAAACAAAGAAAAACCACAAACCACCAAAATCAAACAAAAAACAAAACAAAAACAAAAAACCAATCAAACAAAAGAATCAGCACCCCACAGGAATTCCAAGCTGACAACACCTAATCCTAAGTGAACAAACACCCTCACAGAGCCTGTTGGGAGTTCTGGTGTGGAGGAGGCAGGACTAGAGAACTTGGACACAGACACCCTGTAGGCTTCACATTTTGAGGGGAATTTTGGTCCTTATGGACAGCTTTACCAAGGGGCTTCTTTCCACAGTTCCTCCTGCTGAATTAAAGATCTGATGGGCCAAAGTTACCTACCAGCTGCAGAAGCTAGTGATAGGATCCCTCACGTATCTTAAGATAAAAAAATTTTAATGCTAAAGGAAATACACAATTAGAATGCTCCAAATCTGAATAATTTAGCCTTTCAAAATCTCTGGCAAACAGGCCTCCAATTCAGAACAACCCATGGCCTGGCTGGCCCTCCTGGTTCTCCCAGAACAGGGCACAGAGGATTGGATGCATTGCAGCACAGTCCCCTGCTTCAGCTTGGTACCCGTTTGGCCCAGTGCTACTGGCCTTGCCAGCTAAGGCCAGGTGGACACACCCAACCTCCTCAGCCTCTGCAGGGTGTCCTGGAGGCCACAGAGCCCAAACTACCTACTGCAGGCAGAAAACCCCTTGTGAGACTGAGGGAAACTACCACAGGACTGGAAAATGGGACATTCTGGAAGAAAGGGCTGGCAAAAAGCTGGGGTGTGGACAAGGGTGACCGAGTGCTGCTGAGTGTGGGAATTCCCTGAAGCCTGCAGTCAGGATGGGGTAGGACGTAGACAGGAAAAGGAATCTTCTGGTTTCCCCCAGTTTCCTAGCACTGCTATACAGGCAGAAAAAGGCAGGGACCACAGTCAAGAGCTGCAGCCCACAACATCAAGGGTCTCCCAGTGCCACTGCAGCCCAGAAGCAACTCTGAGGACAGCTGGGTATGCTGACGAGGGGCAGGGCAGCAGACACACTTGGCAACCTCACATGCAAGGTGCGAGTGGGCGTGGAACTGTGGACCTGACTGCCTGGCCCCGTGTCTGCTCAGCTGCATCCATGGAAGCTCCCGCGTGCCCGGAGCCTGTGGCCTGGATTAGCAGACTCAGCTCCACCACTCAGTGTTGCGCAGGGTGAGTGCCCTGACCCCCCTTGGCTGGCACTGTGCTGAGCTCTGTGCAGCAACAGCTCCTCTATTCCTCTTTCCTTCATTGCTTTTGCCCAGAGAAAACCCGAAGCATCATGAGGGACAGAGTTCTCAAAGGTTTGCAGAGTTTCTTCTTGGAATAGGCCTGTTACTAAGGAAACAGTCTCAAGATCATATGGACAATTATGTGGCAGTGCTGGAGTCTGGGATGACTCTGAGACTTGGGCCCATACTGCTAAGGCCCTTTCACTCTGATATTTATTAGGGATTTCTTAAATCCTAAACTGCTCTGTTCACAGCTGAAGGGCTGGAAGAAAGCAACTCACAGGATTCACTCCTTGGGGGCAGTAAGTGGAAATCCTGACCGTCTCCCAAGAAATGCTTTCTCCAAGTGCCAGACCACCTCTCAATCTGAACCTCAGCCCGGGGTCAGCTTTGCCCTCTCCCAGGAAGTGCAACAGCCCAGCGCTCTGGTCACACTTGGAGGGCCATCCTGGCTGTGCCACAGCAGCACACATCCAGCCATCCTCTTATTATCTGTTGCCTTATGCCCTGACTTCAGCACGGAGTGTCAGAGCGCATTGGGGCCCAGAGATCTGCAGAGGCGCCATGTGGAGGTGGCCTGACTCCTGTCTACCTTGCAACCACTACACTTCCCAGATGTCCCTGGGCTCTGCCAGGGCTCCAGGAAGGAATCTCAAACTGCTTTAGGAATCAGCCCTTGTTTTGTGCCCAAACATTAACACACCCTGTAAATAGCAGGCCTGTGAGCTTGTCCATCTCCTCTGCCCTCTTGATGTTTGCTGCCCTACAGGCCATGTCAAGGAACCCTGCTAGGATGCTGCCTGAGACACCAACTCAGGTGTAAAGGCGAAGGCTGGCTGCCTCTACCACAGGGCTGGGGAGCGCCTCACCTGGGTTTGGGCACCTCCAGGGGACTGCTACCCATCCTGAAGAAGTTGTCAGAATGGTTTGAGGATGAGGAGCTGGACGATTTGGCTTCAATCAGCCCCTGATAGGAAGGCAGGCGGTCCTCCAAGGGTTGTGGCCGGTTCCAGAGCACACTCTGTGGCGAGGATGAGTGGCTCTTTCTCCTGTGGCGGAAGAGCAGGGTTGCTGGTAGGGCCGGCTGAGGCATGCTGACAGCCTTCCTGTGTCCAGGGCCCAGCTTCATGTCTTCCATCCCAGTACTCCCTCAGGCCTCCCACAGGCACTGGCAGCAAGAGCTGGGCTTCACGGAGGACAGTGGTGTCCAGATCACCGGCCTACCAGCCTGGGACAGCCTGCCAGAAAATGCTTACCTAAGCTTTAGTGACTGCCTCCCCGCTCCCTGCAAACACTACACAAAGCACTGAGCATCTGGCTGGGGTTCACAGATGAATGACCCTCAGGCAAGTCTGCAGTTGCTTCTGCTCATCTTGCACTCACCTTTACTGTCTTTCCCCCCAGCCACCCAGGACACAATGCAGAGTGTCTGCTCCTCCACAAACTTCTGCTGACACTGGCCCTCCCCCATCTCTGGCTACTGCTTCTTGGTCCCACAGGGAGGCCCCTGCCCTTTCTGCTCCTAGGCCACCCCACACGGCACCCTCACCAAAGACATGGCTGCCTCTGGGGCCCAGTGAGACAGCAGGGGACAAAGCCTAGCTCCCACGCCTTCTGTCAGGGTGGCCTTTGTTCCTAGAACTCCTTGGGGCTGCAGCCCTGCCCACAGCTGGGGGTGGGCTGGGTCCAGTCTGTCCCTCACCAAGCTGCCTGAGCCTGTGCTCCTCCGGGGACCAGCTCCACAGCCTCATAGGTGAAACTCCCCACAGCGCCCGGGGAGCTCTCCATGACCAGAGAGAAGTCGCTGCCAAGGCTGGTGGTGCTGCCTCGGTCTCTTCGCCCTGAAAAAAGGCCAGAGCCACTGGTCAGCAAGCTGTCTCTCCCCACTACTGGTCCCCACCTCCCCTACACCATCCAGCTGGACAAAGAAGCTTCAGGAACAGTTCTGGCAGAGTCTATACTCAGAAAGTTATGCTGAGAAAGGAAGTCAGCTGGGGCCCAGGACTCACTCAGCATGCAGATATCTTCCACAGAGAAGCCTGCATCCCGCACTGGCAAACTCTTCCTCCTGGAAAGAAAACCCAGAGTGGGGAACTCTAGCTCCACTTGGCGTCTCCTGCCACTAACCTCCACCATTCTGGAAAGCAGCTGCAACCTGCTGCAATTCAGGGAGCAGTTCCAACCCACCGGGCTTTGCCTACCATGCATGTGCAGGTTCCTAGGCCGGTACAGCCCACCTCCTCACCAGCTTGCCCTCAGAACCCAAGTATGGCCCAGCACATGACAAGCTTGGATTTGGAAGGCAAATCAACTCAGAAAGGCCATCAGCCCTCACACGGGACCTAAAGCAACTGTCAGTGAAGCTGCCTGCATCTTCCGGGCTGAAAGCAGACCTCTGCTTCCCGGTGGGGCTGCCTGGTATGCAGACAGGTATTCTTTGGTGGTCCTCAAAGGCTGACCATCAGATCAGAGGCACGGGGATGGGGCATCCTCCCTGCAGCAACACATCCTGTACTCTTAGTTGCCAGAGACCATTCATCGCTGAGCCTTTCTGCTAGTGGGAACCAGGCACAAGAGCCTCTTCACCCAGCGGCCCTCAGCAGGGAAGAGAATGCCAGTAAGGTGGTGAGGCCCACATGTGGTGGAGCAGCTCTTCTCAGCGTGCCATGACCCACTGTGACAGCAGCCACTCTTACTAATCTCTGCTGCTTACCTCTGGTTCTTCAGCACTGAAAAGTCCTCGGAGGTGATATGCTTCAAAAAATTGAAGCAGAAGAAGAAAATCTGAAGGGGACAAAAACAGCACAGAGTGAAAAGATGGCATCCCCCAGTCAGAGGAGTAAGGTGGCCAAACACCAGGGCGGGCAGCTGGCTGTTCTGGCCAATCCCCCCGCTAGAGAGCACCCTGGGCCCCACCCCACCCCCACTGGATTTTCTAGCCCATGAACAGTGTGGGTGCAGTGGAGAGGGCTCTGCAGGGCCTGGCAGAGGATGCACGTGAGGAAACAAGTTGTTTCCTTCCTGGGCACTGTAAAAGGTCAATGCAGAGTGCTCAAACCCTCTTCAAATGCAACCCACGGTCTCACCCGTTAAAAAGGATGAAGAGAACAGTAGCTTCCCCTACCTCTCATCTAAGAGCCCTGAGAGGGAGGACAAGACGGAGGGAGATGAGGAGGGCACAGAGCAGTGACACAGCAGGAATGCAAGGGCGGGAGAGTGGGCATGGAGTCTCATGGGGTAGTCCCAAACAGGTTCAGGAGGCTTGGGGTGGGGGAGTTGGCCCTGGTCCAGAGCTGTGAGGGTTGGGTCTTAAGTGTGGGACAGGCAGCAGGATGCTCTGCTCTTTAGCTACTAGCTATACCCTAAACTCACAGCAAGACCTCAGCCAGGGCCCTAATCCAGGGGCCCTAATCCAGGGGCCTCTGGAAGCACACAGGAGGCTCCAGTCCACTGATCCCTGCAGCTGTGGCCAGGACTCCTTGCATGGTCTCCCACAGGGTCCCAAAGAGTTTCCTCAAACAGCAGAAGGGTACCAGGTCAGGCCCTCATGAAAATGTTATGCTACGTAAGATTAAGGAGCTTTGCACCAGACTCCCTAGCCCTCACGCAGGGATGGGAAGAGAGACGTATTTAACTATAGGCCTGTGAGGCAGTGCTGGGTGGGGTGGGAGGAGGATGAGAGAAGAGCCTACACCTCAAAGACCCAGCCCCCAGCTGAGGACTTGCTTCTGCTGGTTACCGCAAGTGCTCAACTCGGCCTCCTCTTTGCCCTGTGTGTCTGAAGGCAGCATCTGGCCTCTTCTGGGGGCGGAGGGAGATGGTGTGGAGGACAGAATGTCCTGAGGCTCTGGCAACGTCCCCAGTCGAGAAGCTACAAAGGTTTTCCACCCAGATTCAATTCCGAAGTCGCTGCCTCTGACTGAGTTCATGGAGCCCTCTGAGGAGCAGGCTTATGAGCTCTGCAGCCCTGGCAGATTCGATAAGTGCTCAGAAGAAGGGATTTGGAAGGGAGAGGAGCAGCTGAAGGGGAACAAAAGGCAATGGTTTGAGATAAGACAGATGCCCAGGAAGGAGGCGGGCTCTGGGTGAAGGAGGAGAGATGCTGCAGAAAGACTGGGGGGGTGGGGTCGAAAGTGCTATCACCATGGATGCTCCATGCTGGGCATCTAGATCTCAGCCAGGCACCAGGAGACTCAAGGTTGAGGACACTGCCCAAGGTCACCCTGGAAATAGGCAGGGCAGCCAGGGACACACTCAGCCTGTCTCAGTTGCATATGCTGGGAAAACAGCATCCCGAGAGGCCAAGGCTGCAGAAGCTGCAGAAGACTGCGGGGGCACTGAGCACTTGGAGGGAGGAGGACGGGAAGAGGCCTCTGGAGGCAGCCCCACATCACGGAGGGGCGCAAAGTGCCCTGGGGAAGAACCGAGAAGACAGAGGTGCTTCTGTTTCAGTTGTGCGGATGAAGAGCTCAGCATAGGAAACAAGGTCGCCAGGAAGAAGGTAGGGAAGGACGGGAGACTGTACAGCAGTGAACTGCTCATGCCGAACGTCAGCATTGTTTCTCTGGCCTGGGGAATCCGTAGCCCAGAACAGCAGCTGCTATGCACTGCTCCTTCTGCCACAGGTCTGAGCATAGCACAGGCCACCTTGTCCAGTACGCCCTGGCCAAGGACCTGCCCCACACTGTGGCACAGAGAAGGCCATTCTGTCCCTTAAGCCAGGCCTGAGCTGAGTTCACTGCCTGTGAAGGGCACTCACCTCCTCTCCTTTGCTGAGGCGATCTACCAACATGTGCCTGAAAAAGGAGGACGAGGAGGTCAGTAAGGTAGTGCCACGTCGCAGTGGAGGGGGATCTGACTCCCGGACATACTGTCTGTGGTACCAGGGCATCAATAGGGCCAGTCAGCATCTTCAGTCCTTCAGAGGAGAAGCCCCCACTGCTTACACAGAAATGCACCACAATACTGTCTCACCCAAGCCTAACATCCTCAAAGGCTTACCCAAAGAGGAACCAGTCGTAGGCCACAGTCAGATAGAGGATCTCAGCAGGCTTCAGGGACGTGTGGATGAGCCCATCCTGGAAGAGAGTGCAGAGGTGAGATGAAATCAGAACACCGCCCTCCCCCGATGTGACCTGCCCTCCATCCCGGGGGAGAACACTCTCAGACCCAGTGATGTCGCAGGGTAAGACACCTGCAGAGTGGGTCCCTCACTCCAAATCATCTGTGTCCTGTGAACTATCTTAAGGGAGCACCCCCACACACACTTACCGCCCACAAGGAAAGGCGCAGCAGAGAGATGAAGAGGGGGGTCCGGTCCCAGCCTGAGATACAGTGCACCAGTAGCCCGCTGTCATCTGCTCCGACAGCCAAGACAGGAGCGCCGAGGAGAAAGAGACAGGCGATGACAGGGAGGCACTGTGGCCCTGGCCAACCTCGTCCCTCTCCTGGGGGCCTCCCCAAGGTACTTTCCAGCACAGTCCTGAGAAGGCCCGGTGCATCCTTTCTTCATGCCACAGTTCCTGGCGGGCCTCTGGGCAAGTGGTCCAGCCTGGATAGGCCCTGCTTGGCCTTTCCCAGGAGGGCATCATAAATACTTTTTCCCCTTCTCAGGGAAGTGGGATAATTCTTCACTGTGTGGGGCTGTTGGAACTTGGTGATATTTGGTATCTTGGGCTAATACCATCAGTACTCGAGACATGATTTCCAAAAACCCTTGCAGGTGCGGGACTACCCCTGCTAGAGTGCTAGCTCCAGGGCCGGATGTGGGACTTCTGTAATAGGATGGCACCTGACTACACTGGGCAATAAGCATGGGTCATGCTTATCGTCCCTGGCTGCACTACACTAGACAGCAGGACAAGTCCACAATGGCTGCTGGCCACAAGACTACCAAGACAGTAGTTGGAGAAAAGGGAGCGAATCTTTGTATTAGATGTTTGCCTCTGCTCGTGGGCCTTCTTGGTGTTACAGGTCTGAACAGTTCTGCCTGTTCAAGTGAGAAGCAAAGTCCCGATCGCGATCTGGGCATCAGAGTTGACTGGCACTAGGAACAGTGAGCAAAAGGGGCCTATGACCTGGCTGTGCACCCTGCACGGAGCAGGCCTCTGCAGGTATGTGTTCTGGACAGTCGGCTAGGACTGAATGGCATCTCGGGTCTCCTCTCTCTGGAGCAGAGCCCCATCCTGACTCCTTGTTCCCAGTGCCGAGGTGCATAGCTCCAATGCCAGCTAAATGGGTGCAACACCCTGAGTATGGCTCAGAAGTTAACTGTTACACCTTGTTTCCAGGGATGTGAGGACACAGAGTAAAGCCAAAATGGGCAAGCTCCACCCAGCCCGAGCAATTCTAGGGATTCCCTTAGTTCCTCTCCCACAGCACAGAAGGCTCCCAGTGGAGGTATCACAAACTGGGAACACCTGAAGACACAACTGTTCGGGGCTCAGGGACTCACCATCGCTGTTCACTATGGAAAGCAGCAGTTTCAGGTAGTTCTGTGTTTGTTGCACCAGGTCCCAACTCTGTTGGATAAGAAGGAGAGAAAAGGGATCTAGGAATAGAGCCTAAGACTTGAAATATAAAGTATTTTTAAAAATAAAATTCTGGTGGGGGTGCAGCTCTGCAGGACAGCACATGCTTAGCATGTATGAATCCCTGGATTCAATCCCCAGCACCACAAAAGTCAATGCTATTCCTGGGCACCAAAGCTTTTGGTCTCGGCCCACAAGGTCTCAAAGCCCAGATAATCTAAGACATTCATTCCCCAGCTGAGAGCTGCCGCTCTCTCTCCCCGCACCCCTTGCTCAGCAGGCACCCCTAATCCAACACATGAGGGTGAGGAAGAGGTAGTTTGCAGGCCTGGCCCTGGCCCCGCACCCCCCACCGGGGGATGGAAACGACAGCTTCCCCTGAATCTCAGACACCCAGCATGGCTGTTTAAGGACTCAGTAAGGTGAACAAAGAGCCCTATGCCTCTGGCAGTATCTATGGCCCTATGCCTCTGGCAGCAAGTGGTCAGTCATCTCTTCACCCGTCACCAACCCTAGAATCCAACGAAGATGTCAGCCTCTGCAAACACATTTTGCTTGCTTTCTACCGCTATTCACTAAATACTGTCTTTTGATGAATAATAAATGCAGTCTGTTGAGCAGACAAAATCTTTTCTAACAGGAAGCCCATGAAGTAGAAGATGGGGAATAAGCAAAAGCCGTAAGGAGAGCACAGCTTTTTTCTGGTCTAGGTAGGAAGTAGAGACTAGAGGGTCTGAGGCAGCCCACTCTGAATCGGATTCCACAGCAGGGCCTGACCTAGTTCTGGGGAGCCCTCTTCCCTTGCTGGGAAAGCCTGTTCTCTTAGGATGTGACTGCCTACCTGCATCCAGGGCTGTGTGGGGGTGGGGTGGGGGTGGGAGCGGGAAGCGGAGGGGTGGATGGGCACAACATCTCAAGAGCACTTGGGGACAGCAGACACGACACCTGTAATTGCAATCGTTTTCCTGGGAATTTAAAAGAAGCTCATGGTCCTGACCCTCCCACGCCCCTGGAGAGTTCTGACCCACTTTCGGCAGCTCAGGAGACGCTGCTGCAGTGTTGTGCTAATGAAGTCACTACTTGCACTAGCATAAGGGTCCCTCATCTGGCTCAATATGTCAGACACACATTGCCAAGAGCTTCCCTCAGAGCTGGGATTATCCAGGGAGCAGGAAGCAGGAGCCATGCAGCATGAAGGCCGGAGTGGCTGAGTGAGCTGGGGAGACTGCAGCAGCTGGGCGAGGGCAGGGGACAAGGCCTGGAGCTATGTGAGCACTAATAACCTTGGTGGCTAAAGGTGCCAATGGTCAGGATGAGGCAGTGTGTGTCTCCAGCTGAGAGAGGAGCCAGACTAGACAGGGAGATTCAAGGCCACACAAGGCTGACTTGCTGCCCTGCAGGAGACTCTGCCCTAATGGCAGAGTAGGAAACGTGCCTAAGAGGACTGGGGTACAGACCCAGGGCCCGAGGCACACTCAGCCTAGATGCAGCCCAACTCAGCCTGGCATACCATGAAAGTGTCTCTAGGAGCAGAGCCAACGAACACCTCACCTCTGCCCGTTTCTATGTCTGGAGCACTTGTTCAGCTCTTATCTTCTCTGTGGGTTGTCTCCTGTGGACAATGACCAACATCCACCATGTAGGTGACAGTCTTTTCCTAGACTGAGCCCCTGGAGGGCAGAGGCTGTTTTGGTGTCCCTGCCTCTCAGGGACCAGAAGGTCCCTGCAGAATGTTTTTTTACTACTGGTCATGGTCAGGGCCAGCCTGGGGACAGCAAAGCCCAGGGGGGCTTAGAGCGGACACAGGGTCTGGGGCTCATTGGGCTACTGGACAGCAACAAGACACCTGCACACTTATGATTGCTCACGCTACTCATTCATTCATTCCCTCTCTCACTCAGCTGACAGCAAAGTGTGTGGGTCTGGTACTGGGGGACACAAAGGTGTCAACAGTGACCCCAGCCATATGGTGTCACAGGGGAGGGAAGACAGAGCTATGCCTATGTGTGGTGACCATCACGGAGGGCTTCTCATGGGTTAAAGTATGAAGGAGAGAGGAGGGAAGAGATACATTTCTGGCACAGAGGAGCACCTGTGAACCTGGGAAGAGCACCTTCCTGCAACGAGCTGGAAGGAGGCCTTCTGCATGGCTAGGAATGGCAAGAACAGGCCAGGCTGGACTGCTCAAGCTGGGCGGGCCAGGTGGGGGCTATGGACTGTGTGCTGAGGAACACGTGAAGTCTGAGGTGGGTTCTAAAGCAGCGGCAACAATGATGGCCCCACTATCAGCTGAATGTTTACCAGCAGCCAGGATCTCACTAGTGCCTTATGCTATTTCTGGTCACTCCTCCGGGTAGCCCCTGCTCAGATGTGCAGTGCTTTGCTCTCAGGTGACAGAAGCCTGACCTTGTCAGCACACAGGAACAAGACAGGAACAAGAGAGGAACTGGAGAGTCTCCCCAGGGCGTAGCGTGGATGGACTTGGCAATGGATGGTGAGAGCATGGACCAGGGTAAAAGGTGGGCTATGTCGACTCCATCTGGGACAGCTGGGGAAGGAAGGACTTGCAGGGGGGTTAGTCATGGGTCACAAGGAGGCCACATGGTTGAGTCTAGACATTCCTTCAAAGCCTCATGTGGTCATACTGGGGGGGCTTTTTGGAGGTGGCTGGATCTAGGGTGTGTGATGATGGGAACAGGGATGCGATGCTAAAACTGATTAAAATCACCTTCAAGGTGGAGGTGAGGCAGAGCCCTGGGACTCCAGCCTGAAGATCAGAAGAGCTCAACCTTGGCTGAAGATGACACAGGTTATGCCCGGCATGGTGGTGCATGCCTATAATCCCAGCCTAGGCTACAAAGTGAGTTCAAGGTCAGCCTGAACTATATAGCAAAACCTTGTCTCAAAAAGACAATAAAAAAAGGGAAAAAAGCCACAGGGTGGGAGGCCCAGTGAGGCAAAGTGACTGGTCAGCACTGATGAGGTGGCCTTCTGGAAGAAGCTCCTGTGATATGCCAGCCTGGCCACCTTCCTGCCCTGGAGTTGGCCAACAGCAGCCTGCCTCCTCGGAGCCACAACCACCTGGTATTCCACTTCTGGAGACACTTGAACACAGGGCTCATATTTCTGCCTGGCTGCAACTGCCACAGCCACTGAAAACTCCACTTTCTGGAGGAACTGAGGTCCTCTGCTCAAGGGCACCGAGCCTGGAGAGGAGGCCCGAGGAAGTGGGGCCCAGTGCATGGAGCTCCTCCTTCCACACCTCACAAGGCAAGCAGTCTGCCATATCCAGTTTGTATCTGTCTGAGAAAAGTGGCGCCAGGAGGAACTTAAAAGAAGGGTAGCTCAGGGCAAGGACCCCAGATGCCCTCTGCGCGCAGCAAACTGAGGAGGCGGCCACTCCATCCGTCCACGCACAGCCTGACCACTGACAGGGTGTTTTGGTTACTTTTCTCTCGCTGCTGGGACAAAATATCCGATGCCCAAAATTTAGGAAGGAAAGGTTTATTTTGCTTAGTTTGTGGAGGTTTCACTCCATACTTGGCTGGCTACAAGGCAGGGTGGTACATGGCAGAGGGCTACCATTCAAGGTGATACAACACAGCAAAAGCAACAAGCACAAAAGGGAGGAATGGTGGCAAGCAGCCTCTTCCTCTTCCTTACATATGCAAACTATCCACCCCAGGGCGGGTGTGGCTCTCACACCCATAATCAATCAAACTCTAAAAGCCTGCCCCATGACCACATGAGGCTTTGGGGGTACACCCAGACACAAACCGTAACACAGGGCCAGCCTTGTCAGCCTCCCAAACCTGCTCCTCCTCCAGGATCTGGGTAAGACAGAACACTGGCCTACCTGACATCCGACCTCCTGACACCTCTCCTCCTGAAGACATGCGCCAAGGGGAGTTGCCACATCACCCTCCTACACACAAGTGCGTGGTTACTGAATATCCAACCCTGCGATTAGGGGCTGGGACAGGACAAACAGCTTCTGCCTTTACGGACCTCCCTGTCATCAGGCCAGCACAGAAAGAGGTAATGGTGGGGTGGCGTGCTCAGGTGCCTAACTTTGGTGGGTTGGGCCTGAGCCAGGGAGACCTCCAGGCCAGTGCAAAGGACCAGAGCTGGGGAGAGGGCAAAGGCAGGGAGCAGGTGTTTTCTACTATTACTGGCTTGGCCTTTCAAACCCAAGGCCCTGTATTTGTTTCTGTGCTAAGGATGCACAAGCTGTGAGTCTCCTGAGCTCACAGAAGATCTCCAAGCCAGTAACTACAGCTTGGTGGAAAATTCCAGGATAGATGTGCCCAGGTTGATGGGAACACAAACAGTGTCTAGGAGAGGAGGCAGATGAGGGAAGTCTTCCTGAAGTAGATATGCAGCCAAATCCTGAAGGGCAGTGTGTCAGCCAGACAGGAAGCTGAGAGGGGCAGCCAGCCAGAGAGTACAGCAGGTGGGGAGGGAGGCTGGAAGTACAAGGCTACTTGTCCTGTGTGAAGCAAGTGGCAAGAAAGGCTACCAGTGGCCTTCAGCCTTGTGGACTCCACAGGATGGACATCTGGATCCATCTAATACACAAGGAGCCTTCCCTGGTAGACAGTAATGGGGGAACACAATGGAAGTCATTTTAAAGTTCCTATGATCAAATGAGGTGAGCAGCTCTACACCTCCTTCAGCACAATATACATTTAAAAGGAAAATGAAAAATGTCAGTAAAGCCCAGATCTGGAAAAGCAAACTCCATGAGGTTCCCTGGAAACAGAAGCCCCTGGTGGACATACATCTTCCAGTGAGTCACGTTCTAAAAGCTTGGATTTTCTGGGCCAAGAACAAGCCATGAGAGACAGAGTTAAATAGCTAAGCCCCTCCCCCGCATACACGAGACACTGCAGCACCAAGGGTGCTGCACATGGGTTTTGCAGGGAGGCACCAGGGCCCCCAGTACCCCAGCTGCCTAATCAGATGCTCACCTGATACTGGCTCCAGTCAATGTGCAGAGAGTGGGTCAGGAAGTCAGGGATGCTCAAAGGAGCATCGACATAGTCCTGAGAAGAGAATGACACTTATGAGACAAGGATTGGCCACCAGAGGCGGCCACGGTGACAGGTAGACCCCGGTCTCGAAGCTATGGCTACCATAGACAGGACACCTTTCATAGCACTTGCTCTCTCCAGGTCAGATGCTTCTGCTACACCTAGACAGCTTAAAAACCAAAGTGACCAGAGCATGCTGCCACATGGAGTCATCCTGTCACACACTGAAGTCTGCTGCAGGGACAGGCAAGACCAGCCAGCCTCCAGGTGGGGTCCTTAGCCTGTACCCGCCAGCAGGAAAAAACAAAATGCTGCTGGATTTTCACAGTGAGAGCAGAGAGATAGGACTTCCCCATCTCAGTCCTAAAAAATGCCTTCAGGGAAAAGAAGAGCTGGGCAGGGTGGCACACATCTGTAACCTCAGCATTCTGAGAAGCTGAGGAAGGAGGGTCACGCACGAGTTTGAGCCTAGCATGAGCAAAATAAAATAGAAAATTAAAATTAAAAAAAAAGGGATACAAATGTAGCTCAGTATGAAGGCTCTAGGTTCAATCCCCAGCACAGTGACAACAAAAAAAGAAAAAAAAAGAAAAAGAAAAGAACGGAAGACATTAGAAGGTGGAGAAAGCACAAGTGACGATTTAATGTGTATATACTAGCAAGAGGGGAAGAGGAGACTCATTCAGGCAACAAAAAAGAAAGGAAAGGGGGGACACTGTAGCTATTTCCCCTCAAGAGATAACTGTTCTCCTTGGCCTCCCTTCACAGAAAAGCACTGGGCCCAGGCTAAATGCTGTCATGCCTACCTGCTTCCAGTTAAATATGAGCCCTTCTGCCATATAATCCCGGTCCTTATATTCCTTGAAAAATTCACAGCCTGGAAAAGAAAGGCAGAGTTACGATCCCTTATGGCCTGGCCCAATGTCTCCTGAGATAGCCCTGGCCTCGTGAGCCCCAGTCCTCTGGGCTTCTCCACACCAGTGGCTCTGACGAGGCTGAGGCTGATGGTCTAAGACAGGGACAGGCAGGTACAATCCAGAGAACATGCCCTGCCGTCCTCACACCTGTCACTCTTTTCTTCTCTGCACACTGGTCACCAGACACTGCCCTGTCACAGGCCCCGGCCCTACTATCATAGACAGCTAGGTTAGGCAGAAGTATCACAGGCAGTCAGATGGGGATGAGACATCAAGGGGTCAGTGTGGAAGATGTAAACATTTCACAACTGTGGCTGGAGGTGCATTTGAAGAAGAGTACAGTTACAGTGGCCAGATTTACATACATCTCTGAGGGATAAACAGAAGCGTGAGATTATTGGTACCACCCTTTTGAGATTTCCTATGTTAGTATTATCTCATTAGGGGTGAGATGGGCCATCCTCTCCTACACACTCAGACTTAGACTAAAGATAAGACTAAGACTATAGATTATTCATCAAGGTTAACGGTGTCATCCATGCACACTTGCTACATGACCTGCTTCCCAATGGACCAACATTACCTAAACACCTTTACCTGTAATCTTATGGGGTGATCATAGTTTCGACCAATGTTGTGCCCACCTCATGATCTTGTTCTATAAAGCTTCCTTTGAGAAGTGAGCTTGTTGGCAGACCATTTGGGACTCTTCTGTCTCTCAGGAGCTATTCCTATTTCCCATTCCTTTTTCCCAATAAATTTTCCTACCCTTAACCTATATTGTTCCTCAGAATTTATTCTTTGACTTCAGGGTACACGAACTTGGTATATAAGACATTGAGCAGGTTGGGAGTTACGTTTATTTCTCCTGTATCACTTGGAAGTCCTATATCACTACCAGTCCCTGCAGTGCCAACCCTAGTGGACGAAAGTCTGGCTCACACAGGAGCCCAGCAATACCTGTTCAGCTGCTACCTAGCTGTAGAGGCCCAGTCTTCAGCATCTCTAAAACGGGCATAGACACCCACCCAGAGGTCTTAGCGAAGATTCAATATCCAATGTGCAGGAGGTGTGGACGGTGACTGAACCCTAAGAGGCTCAAAATGACACCACCACCTACTAGAAAAACCCTGAGAAACTCTAGCGGAGCAGGACTCCATAAGAGAGGAGCAGGAGAGATAGTGGGCTTCAGCAGCATTCCAGGCCCAAATCTCCAGCTGCTTGTGTAGCCTCACGACAAGGAACGAGCTGGTTAACATCTCTTCCTTCACCTTTATTCTTGCTTTTTTCCAGTGTGGGGGATGGAACCCAGGGCCTTGCACATGCTAGGCAAGTGCTCTGCCACCGAGCTACGGTTAATAGCCCTAAACCTTGGTTTCTTGTTTGTAAACTGGCTGTTTCAGGCTGAAACACAGTAATACACATAAGGAGAAGCACAGCCCCGGCGTGCTATCCTGGGTGGAAACCCCCACTGCTATGCGCTGCTGCTCTAAGGAGCGCACAGCACCATCCCCGGGCTCTGTCCCTGCTTTGCTGTGGCTGGGGTGGCTGCTGTGATCACACAGGAGGCCTCCCCTAGCCTCAGCTTGCACTTACTGGGTGACTACGGTGCACCACATGGCAGCCCCAGCCACCAGTGGGCTCCCAGTGGCATCTAGCACACCAGTTATCTTGGAGACCACCGGACGCCAGAGGCTCTGGTCACACTGCAAAGGCTAATGCAGTCCCAGAAGACACAAAAGCTGCTCTACTCCTGTGGAAGTGGCCATCAGCCAACAACATGCATGGAAAACTCGGCAGCAACCCCTGGGCCTGCTTCTTGGAAAACAGGCAGGGCCTGGTGGGAAGGGAGATCTAGGAGCCTAGCCCCTGGATTCCACATATACTTCTGCACTCTAATTCCCCAGGCCTTGCTGCTGAGTACAAGGCCAGAAAATGATCTTCAGCCTGCTCTTGGGTACCTCACTGCAGAGTGCAGAATTATAAATACCAGACGGAGGCCTGGAGCTTGTGAGCCCTGGCTGAGGGGACACTAATTACCTCTCCCGCCTGGTGAAGTGCTCTGCTTTCCTGAGCCCTCCTGTTTGTTCAAATCACCACTGCAAGCCCTGGGCTGAGCTCGGACAGCCTAGAGTGCAGGAGCAGCTTCTGTAAGAAGTGGATAGATTAAAATAGCCTGGGTACCTGGGGCAATGCCTGGTATTCATTACCAGGAAAGGCTTCTGGGCCCACTGGCAGGCAACAGGGATGGAGGGCAAGCAGGCTGACGGCAACAGCCCACTCAGGAGGAGGCAAATGAGATGATGCAGTGCGTCGGCCCGTCTGTTCTGGTGTCATGAAGAAAGTGCTTCCAGAACACCTCTTGTTCCCAAGGTCCTGCCTGAGGCCAAGAGACTTAAAGCTAGACCTGATGCTGCTGCAGCTCCTGTCAGGGCTTCAGAGTCCTTCCAGGCTGCACAAAGATCCCATAAACAGCAGCAGGGTGCACTTCATGACTTGGTTCATTGCATTTCTTTTAAAAATACAGGTGTGAGCCGGGCATGGTGGCACATGCCTGTAATCCCAGCACTTGGGAGGCTGAGGCAGGAGGATTGTTGTGAGTTCAAGGCCAGCCTGACTTGCATTTCAAGATCTTGTCTCAAAAAGACAAAAATAAAATAAAATAAAATAAAAGCCAAACCAAACCAGGTATGTAGTCAGGTACGGTGACACACGCTTGTAATCCCAGGACTTGAGAGGCTGAGGCAGGAGAACTACCTCGAGTTTGAGGCCAGCATGGACTACATAGTGAATTCAAGGCCAACTTGAATTACAGAGTGAGATCCTATCTCACAAAACAAAACAAAACAAAACAAAACAAAACAAAACAAACAAAACTCCAAAAAGGTAACAGAGGTGTGTAAAAGCAAACCAAGAAATAATTTATCAAGTAAAAGTGCTTCTCTGCTCTTATCTGGGTGTGTGGCAAAGATCTCTTTCCATGCCTAGCTTTTCTGACTGCAGCTGATCCTAGTGCTCTCCCCCACACGCACACAACCATCAGGTGACGGACTTAAAACACCTGGGGAGGAACAGGAGAAAAAACACTCAGACACATCTTAACATTTTGCAATCTTTCCTGCTAACCTTTTCAGAAGCACTTTGTAATTTTGTTCATCATCTTGAGCATTTGTCTACAGCCACAGAATATTTTGTTCTATATATGATGGTATCATGTGCTTAATCCTCTTTCCGGTTAATGAAAACATGTCCCTGACTTTGCTATTACAAATGGACACTGCAGAGAATGTCTGAGGCCCCAAGCTAGCTGGCTTACAGCCAAATGGCAGATGAAGAAACTAACTGGGTCAAACAGTGCTAACATCCAGGAGCCCTGGAACAAGTTGCCCAGTTACAACAGAAAATCGCTGGCTGCTTTTCTGCAGCAGGGGTCCTCTTACTTCAGCAACATGGTTCTTCCTGATGGAGGTCTACTTCAATCCGAGATACAAGGAGAGCACTGTTGGGACCCTCTGTGGGCATGGAGTTCAGGCTGCGGTACTCGGGCAGCTCTTGGAAGCCGGAGGCTGGGTCTGAAAACCAGCTGTACAGCTACTCCCTGGCTACTGCACAGCTGCCCCTGGGAAAGATCTATCATAGCACTGCTCTGACACCACCAAACCCATGTGCCACCACTGCACTCTGCGTCAGCCTGAGCCGCTTTGGGGAGGAAAGGCTCCCAGGACCTTTCTCCCCGTGGACTCCTTTACTGAGCTCCTGCTAGGCACAGGTGGGGTAGCTGACTCTCAAGTAGGTGCCACCACCCTCACGTTGCAAAGGATGGTACTGATGCTCAGAAGGGTTAAGGGCTGTTCAAGGACACATGGTGCTCGGCTGAGAGTCACACCCAGCTCTGCAGGGCCCGAAACTAAGCTGGCAGAGAAGAATGATGCCCAGTGGAGGGCACTGTCAAACACCACTCTCCAGGAGCTGGGCATCAATACCATTAGATTGCCTGTGACGAACCTGTAGTTCCAAACAAGGCTGTCACCAGCCCGCCCCTGCTGTTGGCTAAGCGCATACAAGACTGAAGACCACGACTGAAGGCAAGTGCCAGACTGGGAAACAGGGGCAAGGCTTCAAGGAGAATGCACACTAGTTGTGTGGCTTACCAAGCCTTACAGTAGGTTTGGGGTCCTCAACCTTCCTTGCAAACAGGCAGGGAAGGTTACAAACTAGATAAACATCCCTTTGGTAACCACTGAGAACAGGGCCCAGCCATCGGGCAAGAATGTATCTGTGTGCCAGAGACAAATGCAACTTTGTGGACTAGAGCACTGTGTAACATAGAAGCCTTCTATGTTACATAGAAGTGTACAGTCAGAGGATGCCACAGTTATGTGTCCTTCCACTGCAGAACAGCCTTGCCTGGGGCAACAGCCACACAAAGCTCAACCACTGCAAGACATGTGTGAAGGCCTACACCTGCCCAGGCCAGCACTGCATGGATATGTGCCAAGATTACTAACACTGTTTCCACTTACCCAGTGCTTCATGGAGCCGGGCATGGAGGCACATGCCTTACATCTAGCACTCTGGGAGGCAGAGGCAGGAAGATCGCAAGTTCTAGCCTTGCCTGGCAACTTAGTGACTTAGCAAGACCCCATATCAAAACAGGAAGGAAAAAAAAAAGCTAGGGATGGAGCTCAGTGCAAAGGCCCTGGGTTCAATCCCCAGCACAAAATAGACAGAGCTTCATATCCACAGATCACTGGTTCATGCAAGATCTCATCAAACAACCAAACCCTGAGTGCTGTAACCTTTCATATTTGGACTGCCACCTGAGGAAACTTGGGCTGGGCAGGAAAGTGACTTGCTCAAGCTATGGCTAGTAGAAGCCAGTGCCAGGGTTTGATTCCCGACCGAGTGCCTAAGTCCGAGGCTTGTGACCAGGGCACAAAGGTCTCTACTGACAGACACAAAGCTCCCAGGTGCCAGTGGCTCTCACAAAGACTTGTTCACTGCCTCTGGGCTGAGCCTAGGAAGCCTTGAACTTAGTACAACAGCACTCCCTACCTGGGTACGGGATGGAGAGAAGAGTGAAGTCGGCATAGCGCTGGGCTTTGTCCACCTTCTCAGAGGAAGTTACACTACAAGACAGAGACATAAAATGCTATGGCATCAACACACACAGACACATGCCGTCCCCACAAGTATTGCGACAACTTAAAATGAACCTTCTGCTAAAATGCTCTTCATCAGAGTTAAGAATGATCCCCTTCAAGAAATCTCACTTCCTGTTTCCACCCCATCTCTTCAGCGAGACAGGCCTCCCTCTCAGTGCGGCAAACCTCAAGATAACCTCAGGTCACAGGTGCACCTTCCCTCAATGGCCCACAACACATGCTGCAGCTACTTTAGCTGGGAGGCAAGTGAAATGAGAACTAAGTAAGGCCATGACCCAAAAGGGGGCCTCTGCTCTACCGCCTTCTCTAACTCCTGCCAAGCCACTTATAAAAAGGGGACACACAGCACTGGAGCCCCTAACAAAGGAGGAAGGGGTACAGGAACATCCACAACCCCCAGGTAGCCACGTTCCGACTTTAGCCTCATGGTGTCTTTTTTGCTAAGACAACCAGTTAGGGCAACTAAAAAATACTAGAAGAAAACAACATTCAACACAACTTTGGAAAAAGCTCCTAAAATTTCATTGTCATAACCTCATGTTCCATTTTTAATTTATTTTTACTTTTATTTCTATTTTTATTTTTTTGAGACATGGTCTCACTATGCAGTTAAGGCTGGCCTTGAGCTCACTTTGTAGCCTAAGCTGGCCTTGACCAGACTCTGGCTCCTTTGGTCACTAGCATAGAACCTAAGCCGAGTTACTCAGCCTCTTCAGTTTTTTGTCCACAAAAAGCAAAGGGCACCAGCACGTGCCCTGCAAGGCTGTCTGAAGATGCAGCAGAAGTTATGCAGACAGCCCTTGGCCTGGGTCAGCCTGCAGTGACTGCTGGGCGCCGCCAGCTGGATATGCTGGCTTCCTGCTTTGTGGGGCAGGCACCCTTTCAGTACTCACTTCACGCCAAACTTCACCTTCTTATTCTCCACCATCAGGTCACAGATGTACTTGACCGACAGGTACCGAAGCAGCCTGATGTCATAGCCTCTGACCTTATCGAAAAGGTGCGTGTCACCACTCCTGAAATCAGAGCCAGAGGGACAAGGTTCACAGCGCACTCTAGGGGAGGGAGGGCTTGCTCAGGAAGCATGGAGGTCACTGGCAGGAGCTGTGTCCTCCTCTCCTCTCCTCTCCTGAAGACAGAGAGAGGGCCCAGGGAGGTAACTTTCCAGATTACCCCATCTCTGGGCACATTTCAAAGGGACCTGGAAAGGGTCTGCTGGCACTGCTTGGCATGAAGCCAGAAGACTCCAATGATCTTGGTGCCACCAAAAGCAGTAAGCAAGTGGCAGAGAGCCCCTGAGCTTCCAGTGGAGCTGATCGCCCTCCTTTCTGCTGTCCCTCACGGAGGACCACTGCTAGGCACATGCCTTGCTCACAGTGGAACAGACTCTAATTCTTGGGCAAAGAGGCTTTTCAGAGCTATTTCGTGGACTGACTGTGAAACCCCAGCAGCATTCCCTCTATGTAGCAGATGGGTGAAGCAAGGAGTGAGTGATCACCATTCTAATCCCCAAGCTACCTTCATGTCAGTGTGCGGACATAGGCAGAGAAGAAAGAATCAGCTGTCACCATCACATTTTCTTAATGCCCACTGCTTTGTTGTCTCTGCAGCCTCTTCGCCAAGAACAGTGTGCTGAAGAGGGGGGGACAGGGGTCACCTGACCTTGGGGGAGGAGCCACAGCCAGTGCCACCAGGGCCAGCAGGCAGAGCCCAGATGAGGCAAGGTGCTCCTCCACGTGCCAGGCCAGTGCGGGCAGCTGACCTCAGGTGGTGCTGTTGCCCACTCCACAGCTGCTCAGCACCAGCTAAAGACACTCCGTGTGCCACTGGCCATGCCAAGGAGCTTTTCTAAAACAGCCTACAGAGGGTTTTTGTGGCTTTTGGAATTGAACCCGAAGTCTTCACACTGAGCTACATCTCTAACCCTTCTTTTATTTATTTGGAGATAGGCTCTTGATAAGTCACCCAGATTGAGCTTGAACTTGTGATTCATCCTCCTGCCTCAGTCTCCCATAATGCTAGGATTCTAGGGCTCATGGGTCACCACAATTGACTTACAGTGTTGTTCTTTAAAAGGGGTAGAAGAGTGAAGCAGCCCACTGCCTCTCTTTGGAAACTCAAAATACTGTATTGTATCAAGCTCTTTTAAGACACTAGCCATGCAGCCATGGGACTTTTCATTGCCACGTCTTCCCTGTGTCCTCTGTGGGGATGACAGTCCTCACCCTGTGCTCCAATACCAGAAGTGCTGAGTGTAGATATCTGTGGGCTGGCAGCTGCCACTCCGGGTACACACCTCAAGCGTGATGGGTTTTGAAACAAATCCAGCCATGTGGGGCCTATCTCAGCCTGCAGACCAGGAGGCTGATGCGAGACTTCCCCCTGAGAAGCTGATGAGCCTTTGTCTTGGCTGTAGGTAGCACTGGGAGGAAGCTCTCGGATGACTAACTACACTGCACTGTACTCTTTCAACCTTGTGGATGAGAGGAAAGACCAGGCCACAAGTGTGGGCCGGGATGAAGACGCAGCCAGTGTGAACAAGGTCTCCACCAGCCAGACAGCCCATCCCAAGCCTGGCCCCTGGCTGTGGGGACCTAGCACTGACCGAAGAGCGCAGTCTTCCTCCGTGATGTCTTCCACATCTGCCCAGGTGTCATCTGCACCCCCTGCCAGAGAAAGCAGTCAGTCAGCACTGAGGCTGCTGGCACAGGGCTCCTTCTGGGGCTTCCTCCCCAGTAGCTCAAGGTGCAGGCTGAGCTGCCAGCCCCGCTCTGGGGGAGCCCCCACCCCAGAGTCAGCTCCCACAGCTCTGACCCTCCACACACCCTGCTTGCCTGGCACTCTGCTTTCCTCTCAAGTGACTTCATGGGTCCCTTGTTCCCACTGAAAGGGTGCTCTGGTCTCCACGAGCTCGCTCCCACCCTTCGCTATACCACTGTGGGACTCACTTCTATGAGTAGGTTCTCATCGCATGCCTAGGGGACTGCTCATATTCACCTGAGAAAAAGTAGTTGTAGCCAGAGCGTCCGTACAGCTCTCCCCATCCAGCCAGGGTGGCCGACCTGCAAATATGCTGGGAGACAGAGGATCCTCAGTCAGGTTTCTGAAGTGGGCACAGCACAAGGACACCTGGTCTCCTGCCTCCCATGGGCTCAAGTGCATTCCCCACAGCATCAGCCCCGAGTCTCTAGCCAAGAAGACTCCCCATATTCATGGCACTGGGAAAGACCTGGCAGGTGCTGCGTGCATGCCATACCCTGGGGATGCAGTGAAGCCTCCCACATTACTGTGCTTAGTTTTCTCCCTTCCAGTGCTGGGGATGGAGCCTAGGGCCTCGTGCATGCCAGGGAAATGCTCTACCATTCAGTTACACCCCAGCCTCTTGCTTGAACATTCTTTTTTATCCTCATCACTGAAGAGATCATGCTGTGAACTAGAATTCTAGACACCAGAAAACTTCAAGAACCTCAGTATCTAATGTTAAGGCCATACCTTTAAACAGCCACTTGAGGAGCAGCACGGAGCAGGGGGAGCTTAGCTAAAGGCTGGGAGAACCCCCACTACACTAGTGTGTGTGCCAGCTGGGAGGCAACATGGCAGGAAGCTTATTTCTGAGTGGGCCATGTAACCTGGGGACGGAAAGTGCATCTCCACTGTCTTAAGGGACCTCATTCTCTTGCGATGAAGGGAAGAAAGCACGAGCTGCTCCAGGAGAGGGTGGAAACCCCTGCAGGGGGCATGAGGTGGTGAAGAGGCATCAGTCAGAACCCAGTGTTTTATACTGTTCACGTCTGCCTTCTGGAGTCTGGAATTCCCAGGGTTTCTTGCTCATGTACCTTCTGGGCCGTGCTCCTGTGCAGCTCTGCTGTGGCACCAGCCCTGCCCTCCCTTGTGCAGCTGTGAGATCCTCTCACAGGGGACACACAGCCTCTTTTCAAGCACTGAGGGCTTTTTTGTCCCCCCATCATACCCCAGAACCGGGGGCTGAACACACGGCCCTTGCACTGAGTTGTATCCCCAGCCCTTTCGAGTCAAAGTCTCATTAAATTGCTCAGCTGGCTAACCTGTCTCAGGCTTCCAGAGTGCTGGGATTACAGATGTGTGCCACCATGTCCAGCTGGTTATTCAGCTTTGAAACCCTCTTCTTGCTCCCCGTTCTCTTCCAAAACTCTTATCATCTTTATCCTTTTGGAAACTGAGTCAGACAGCCCTGGGCCCACCAGGAAAAGAATAAGGGATGTGGCCAAGTTCCCAAGTGAGGCACTGAACTCATCAGGAAGGCAGAAGAACTTGCCCCACCACAGTCTCTCTTCTTGTTTCTTGAGACAGGATTTTGCTTTGTAGTCCAGCCTGGCCTTGTATTTGCTGTGTGTCTAGGATGGCCTCAAACTCTCGATCCTCTAGTCTCAGCCCCCCGAGTGTCAGGATTATAGGCATGTATCGCCACGCCTGGCTCAAACCCATCATTTCTTCCCCTTAGTTCTAAATGCTTTCTAGTTAGCCGATTAGGAATGGCCTCCATTCTGCACACAGAGTAGCATCTGGTAGGATATGCCAATCTAGTAATCAACTTTGCATAGAGAACAAAAGCAATGACTAGGAGTTGAAGCTCAGTGGTAGAATGTTTGCTTAACATGTGTAGGGCCCTGGTACCAAAAAAAGGACAGAAAATTTGTTTGAGACAGTGTCTCACTATTTAGCCCTGGGTGGCCTTGAACTCTTGGCAATCCTTCTGCCTCAGTCTCTCAGCTGTTGAGATTAGAGGCATGTACCACCATACCCGGCCAAATTTTTTAAATATGTAAGTAAAAGCAGCTATCCTTGCTGTCCACCTGTTAAGGGAGGAAACAGAACCATGAGTAGGAGCCAGGCATAGTGATGGACACCTGTAATCCTAACACCTGGGAGGCTGACGCAGGAGGATCTTAAGTTTGAGCGGGGCTTGGAAAACATAGCAAATTCAAGGTCAGGCTGGACTATGTGGCAAGACAACAAAATAAAAAAATAAATAAATAAATAAACAAACCCTAACCCAGGTGTGGTGGTACATCTAGTAATCCTAGTATTCTAGGAGGTTGAAGCAGGAGGACTGTAAGTTCAAGTCAAGCCTGGGCAACTCGGTGACTTACAGAAATCCTTTTAGAAAACAAAAAAATAAAAAACAAAGAAGGGGTGGGGACATGGCTCAGTGTGAAGACCCTGACTTCAATCTCCAGTAAAACATACACCACACACACACATCCATACATACAAACTGTCCCAGTGGTCAACTGTCTAAAAGCCAGATCCAAGTGTTGGGGGAGAACTGCATGGCAGGGTGTCTGACCCTTCAGCGCTTTACTGGCTTTAACTCTCTGCATCGATCCACGCTGACTCTTCTGTCACACCAGTCACATGGGACAGAGTCTGCAGGCAGCGGAAGCAGCGCTGTGAAAACAGCTCCCTTGCTTAACTCAGGACAGCAAGGTACCCTGCGGTGGCACTGGTAACAACGCTCCCTGCACAGGTTATAGAGACCTGTCGAGTGACAGCTGAGGACCAGGTCCCCCTCAGCTCAGGAGGAAGCTGTTCTCTTGGCCATTCTAACCTCCCTTGGAGTGAATTCTCCACGACTTGAACTCCAGGGAACTCCAGGGACCTCTTGTGCACCTTTCTCCCCAGGAGCCCACCCGGTAAGCCAGGAGCTGCAGCCCGGGGAAGCACCTTCCACTGAGCACCTACAGCACTTACACTCAGGCAGACAGGATGGCCCTGAGGCAAGTTTGCTGCCCCAGAGGCCCCGACAGAACAAGGTAGAGACAGAAAGCACACAGTGGTGCATTTCCTATGCAACTGCTGTGGGCAGCAGGTAGCAGTGAGTCACTGCTGATGACTGGGGCAAGCTAAGAGGCATGAAATGGCACTGCGCCACCTGGCGTGAGGCAGAAGAAAGGAGTAATGGCACAGCCCCTGTGAACATTCGAAAGCGTCACCACCTCCTCAGACTAAGCCTTTGTAGCAATCCAGGGCCATTCCTCTGAAATCTGCTGGCCCAGGCCCACCTAACACTTAAGTGCTGATCTTCTGTCCAGACTAAGCTCCAGAAATCTGGAGCTGTTTGCTGTGGCATTTTTCCAACGGAGTTCAGCAGTGTTCCTTACTCATGTTCCACAGAAACAGGAGGAACACTGCATGGGACAAAGATGCTGCTACAAGACGTCTCAGAGCCCGAGCTCTGCCCATGTCCTCAGATCTGGGTGTGCTTTTAAATGTGGTCAGTGGTAATGAGGAAAATTTAAGATGCCGTTTATCCGTTTGTCTTATCTTTCTTTCTTTCTCTCTTTCTTTCTTTCTTGTTTTTTTTTTTTTTTTTTTTGCAGTATTGGGGATTGAACCCAGGGCCTTCAAACTGAGGCACATCCCCAGTCCTTTTATTTTTCACTGGGAGACAGGATCTTGCTAAGACACTACCTTGTGTAGGCAGGGCTTGAACTTGTGATCCTCTTGCCTCAACCCTATGCTGGGCCAGTGTTTCTCATTCTTAGGTGACAGGGAATGCTTTCTATAAATTTATTCTCACACTGCTTTGGGAAACACAGGTGGTCATCCTCTGCTCTTATGTGTATCCTCTTCCTAGCCAGAAGCCTCCTGGGTCTCATTCCTGCATGCCCCACACTCTCTGGTGCTATACTGCCTGCTTGCAGCACCCCCCACCTTCCCATCGTCATGCTCCCTGGAGGCCACCAGTCTGTCAGGCCACACTACTGCTCCCTTTCCTGAATTCTCCTGATACTACTCACCGCATGCGACTCTCAGCTGCAGTATGGTGTTGGAGATGGGTTCAAATCACTGCCCTGTTCAGTGTAAAGTAAACTTGGGAGAATTATTCAACCACTGTGAGGCTGCCCTTTTACACCAAAAGACAGCAAGACAGGCAAAATGAGGCCTTATTAGGGAGCAGCTGACAGCAGCCACTAGAAGGAAAGCTCCATGCAGGGAAGAAGTGTTTGTTTTACAGGATGACACATCTCATGGCCTGAAAGGCACCTAAATCAAGTATATGCTCAATAAAACAAACACTAGGCTCACTAGGCATGGTGGTACAGGCCTGTAATCTCAGCACTCGGAAGGCTGAGGTAGGAGGATCGCCATGAGTTCGAGACCAGCCTGGGCTACAGTAAAGTCAATTCAAAGCCAGCCTGAACTACCTAACAAGATCCTGTCTCAAAAATACAAACTCAAATAAAGAAACAGTTAAGCATATGATCAAAATAATGAACAAACATCAGTGTAGCATCTTACTTGATTTAACCCACTCTGTACACTTTGACACAGGTATCATTATTATTCCCATCTGACAGAAGAAACTGAAGCCTTGTGCAGGAAGGAAGAACCACAGCAAGGATCAGATCCCAGAGCCAGCTCCAGAAGACAGGGCAGGGTCCTTTCACAGCAGTATCACTTTTCTACCTGAAGTCACCCTTGAATCTAAACAGGTCTGTTTCTCTAGCCTACTTCCCACAGTACCACCTCTCCCACAGCCCCCAAACTTTGACTAGCAGAGAACAAACCTATGCTTTGCTGGAGTCAGATATCCCAGAAGAGGGCCTTGGTGTGCAAGACGCGGGGGCCTTACCTTGCCTTTAAATAGGATCACTGGGCAGACAAAGCGTCCTCTGCACCTGGCCATCTTGCTGCGGTTGATAAGGTCCTGCAGCCTGCTCACCTGTACGGTGCTCTGAAACCTAATACACGGAAGAGGCAGGTCAGTCCAGCTTCTCAGGGGCACTCTGAATATGTGTGTCTGTCCATTTGGTCCCCTACCAGGTCTGTGTACAGGTGGGAAGAAGCTCAGCGGACATTCAGGAAATGCGGCAACTCCTAAATTTTCAATCACTGATACTAGGCTTCTCAGGAACACTGAAAGTGATAACTGTAGGAATTAAAATCTAAGTCACCCTAATTTTAGAGCCTTTACAGAGGGAAATAAAAAAAAGGAAACTAAACTGAAGACACTGCATGAGAAAAAAAGAAACACACATAAGAAACTGGATACTGACTGTACCTGCAGTGTTCAGCAGCTCATTCCCAGAGTAACACCTGGTGTCCTGGGCACCTCAGGAAACCACAGGGCTACTTCTGTGATCTTAATTTAGGGAGTGGAATGCGATGAAGGCTCCTGGTCTACACAGGTCTAGGACATCCCAACCATCTACAGTCCCATGGGGCACGGTATGCCAGCAGCACAGGCAAAAGCGGAGCTGCCCATGACTGTGACCTCCAGGGGTGAACACGCTGGGCTGGGTGAGGAGCACCTCCAATGTAAAAGGGGCAGGGTTAGAAACGAGCTCCCACCCACACCAAAGTGCAGTTCCTCAAACCTGAGTCTGCTCACCCTCTCAACCCCTGAGCTGGCAGACCTGCCTGCAGCATCAGAACCAAGGGGCAAGAAAGCTGGAGGAGGCTGCCCTGCCACGTGGGCAATAGTGCACAAGGGAGGCAGACGCTCACACTTCCTCCTCAGAGCCCAGCACTTATGCCACAGGGTGGCAGATGGCCCGCCCCTCCTAAGGATCCTCCCTCTCCATGGACACATGCGCCCAAACTCTGCTGCATGAGTTAAGCCACACATCTGGGAGCCTTTGTATTGAGTTACATCCCCAGCCTCCTACCCCAACCCTTTGAATTTTTTTCCCCCAATCTTTTTAAATTTTTGAATCAGAGTCTTCCTAAGTTGCCCAAACTGGGCTTGAACTTGTGATCTTCCTGCCTCCCCGAGTGCTGGTAATACAGGTGCCATCAAGCCTGGCTGAATATTTTTCTTCTTGAAGGAAAGGAAAGAATGGCCAACCTGAAGAGGTGCTGAGTCTCAAAGCAGTTGCTGCTAAGAATCCAGATCTCCCCCACTGCTAAATCCCAGCCCTACTCAGTTCCTCTACAGAGTTAAAAAGGCACCTCAGTTGAGTGGTGTGGTACACACCTGTGATAGCAACACCTGGAAGGCTGAGGCAGGAGGATCACAGTGAGTTTGAGGCCAGCCTGGGCTATACAGTGAGCTCAAACTCACTCTTTGAACTACATAGCGAGACCCTGTCACAAAAAACTAACACTAAATAAATAAAAAGGGCTGGGGAGGTACCTGAGTGTCAGGTTCAATCTCCATCCCAGACTTGAATCCATCCCTTCAGCAAACTCCTCAAAACCAATGTGTTAATGGCTGTGGTGGTAAGCCTGTAATCCCAGTACTGGGGAGGTTGGGGCAGGAAGATCTCAAATTTAATGCCAGCCTGGGCTACACAGGGAGGTCAAGGCCTACATAGAGTTCCTGTCACAAAACAAATAAATCAAACAACCCCAGTGTCAAGGGCACTACTGTCAGCACATCCCTCCGAAGTCTCCAGAGAGAGACTTCTACTATGAAGACACTCCTGCTCTTGCCTGGCCAGGAAGTGGTCTATGTGCCTGGTTCCCTTACTCAAGCACCAGTTTAGTTTTTTTGGTACCAGGAATTGAACTCAGGACCTTGCACTTGGCAGGCAGGCGCTGTGCTGCTGAGCTATATCCATGGCCCACCGGTTCAGTTTCTGTTCTCTCTCTACTTCCCATTTGCCTTACTTCTTGCCCTTAGGATCTTTTTATTGCAGTGCTAAGCAGTGAGCTGCATCTGCATGTGACACTCATATCTGAATGAGAAATGGAGGCTAACATATTTCTGTCTGCAAGATATGCACTGAAAAACTTTGTCAGGATGCTATCAGGTGGTGATTTTCTTTTGACTTTTATTTAATTATCTGACTGGACTTTATTTTTTATGAATATAATTTACATACAAAAACCATTTTCAAATACCAAAGAAAATATTGTCATATAACTCCCAAAGGGAATCTTTCCAAGACCAACACCACACTTCCCAAACTAGACTGGTTGTTCCACGTACAAGCCTCCCAGCTTCCCATACTGTTACTGCTGCCTTATAGATACAGGATAGATACTGTGTACAAAGTATGACTTATGTCCACATTCTCTGTCAGTCATCATTAGGCCATTTCACAGTTGAAGCAAGTTTACGAAAATGCAATCACTAGCCCAAGGCCACAGGGCAGGTACGCAGGGGCTGTGCTAAGCCCTACCGGGCAGCCACTGCACCCAAGGTTTAACCATTACCCAGCAACCTCCCTGTGTTCCTCCTAATCCTGGCTCTTGCTCATTGACTGGTCTCCTTTATCTGTCAGACCTAAAGGTATAGACTTCACTTATCTGGCTTCTTATTGGTTACTGGGATCTACTGTACAATGGCAGCTCAATGAGTGCTTGCAAAATCCCCCTTACCAGTCAGGCTTCTATTACCAGACAGAGGGTGGAATTGGGGAAGTTAGTTAACAAAATCACACCACTTCCTGAATTCAGTTCTATCACAGTAAACTCAGTCTAGTTAGTGTCACAGTAATATGCAAGCCAAATTTATAAAGTAACTGAGATTGGTGGCATACGCCTACAATCCCAGCACTCTTGGAGGCTGAGACAGGAAGATCACAAGCTTAAGTTCAGTCTGGACAAGATAATGACTTAATAAGACCCTGTCTCAAAATAAAAAAATGCTAAGGGTATAGGTCCCTACAAAGGCCCTGGGTTCAATCACTAGCACAGGGGCAAAAAAAGAAAAGAAAAAAAAGCTGGGTGTGGTGGCGCACGCCTGTAATCCCAGCACTTGAGAGGCTGAGGCAGGAGGATCGTTGCAAGTTTGAGACCAGCCTGGGCTACAAAGTGAGCTCAAGGCTGGCTTGAACTGCATAGTGAGACTCTGTCTCAAAAAGATTCCCCCCCGCAAAAAAATTCACTTCAATTTGGTGGCAAGGCCTGGCAAGGGTGAATGCCTGTGATTCCTCCCAGGAATTTCTCCCAGGGAAGGGTGCTGTGGGATGTCCCTGGTCAGGACAGTAAGACCCTGCTAGGCAAGGCGGGGATGAGAAAGCTGGGGGAAGTTGAGAAGAGCAGAGCCAGGGGTCCTGGCTTCTCTCCCCACCTGCTTACTGCCACGGGGATCCTGGGCAGAGGCAAGCTGCTTCCATGGGCTTCACCTTCTTCTTGGTGTGTGTGTGCGGGGAGCTTACAGAAAGGTAGTGTAGGAAACCCTAACGCTTTTACACAGGAGGCAATCAACAAACAGTAGTTCCCTTCTCTTTAAGGGCTAGAAGTGCTGGGTATGATGGCACATGCCTGTAATTCCAGCACTTGGGAGGCTGAGGCAGGAGGATCGCCATGAGTTCAAAGCCAGCTTGGGCTACATAGTGAATTCAAGGCCACCCTGAACTACACAGCCAGTGAGACCCTGTCTCAAAACAAAACAAACAAAACAAAACAAAAAAGAGCTAGAATGAATCAGAGCCCAACTTGTTTCCTTATGAGAAAAGTATCTATCTGTGCAGCAGTCCAAACCCAGTGTGTGCATATGGGGCTCCTAAAGGGTGGTTCGGAGTCACCCAGGAGTTGGGGTGGGATGTGGAGTCAGGCCCACCTCAGATTCAGTGATAACGTGATCACCTGAAGTCGAGATGGAGAGCTGAGGTAGTACTAGAAAAGCTACTGGGACAGAGGGGAAAGCACCAGTCCGCAGTGATGAGAGTGCAAGGGGGAGCACAAAGCAGGAACAGCTCTCCTTCAAAAACTGTGGCTTAGAGGGCTACAGAGGGACCCTCTGGAAGGCAGGGTCAGGAGAGAGGCCATGCCAAGTAAGGGGCCATGACAAAGCCCGGTCTTTAGGCTTGGGTTCCCTAGAGAGGATGAGATGTGATTTCTGTGATCCTCACACAAGTCCTCAGGGAATGCACTTGATCTCTGGAGGCAGGCACTCTTACAGACTGAGAAACTAAGGATCACCCCTTAATGCCTCTGGGCAAGCTATTCCTCTGCATGTTAACCTCTGCTGGTGTAGTTCCAAAACTACAGCATCTAAGACATCTAGAGAACTCTGGGAATGTGGATTCTGGGAAGCCCAGCTCAGAAGGCCCCAGACAGGCCTGAGAATCTGCACTCTTATGCCTGCTCAGGGGATACTAACACAGCTACTGACACTGGCACATAATCCACAAGTCCACACAGCCTGACCCAATGACCAAGACCAAGACCCTAGAGAAAAGTTGGTTCTTCAGGAACTTCGGGAAGTTATTCACTCTGGCAATTCCAGCCGCAAAGGTTCTACCATGAGCTCTCCTCAGCCATCTACACTAGACAGGTGGAACCATATTTCCCAGTTCTGAATGTGCACTGCAATCCCACGGGCATCATCTAGGCTATGGTTCCAGTGCATTTGCACTAGAGTCTGCGTTTCTGGGGGTTTTTGGGCACACTGAGGGCCATGCTAAGCAATGAGGGCCTGCCCAACTATACAGCATGACTGCTGCCAGCGCCTCATAGCACCGCCCCCCCACGGGCCAAGATCACTCAGGAAAGGTGGTGGCAGCTCCTGGAGTCCCTCATGATCAAAGCAAGCTGTGAGAGCAGGGAAGATGCTCTGAGAGCAAGCCAGGAGCCACAATGCTGTGATTGGCTGTTTGTGTCAAAATGCTACCATTTACCAACTTCCTAGGCAACCTCTTCCAACCGGGAGCTTCCTGCCTGCTCTGGTAGCAACTGTTACTCACACACAATACTCAACCCTGGCAAGCTCTCCATATAGGGTAGCTCTCTTATTACTAACTCTCACAACAAATACATCAGGTCTGGCTTAGCACTGTTTATCATCAGGAACTGCACAGGCCACTTTTCTAGAATTTTAATTAGTCCTTACAAACACTAATTAAGACAAGGCAGGATTACTGATGAGAAAACCGACAACAAAGAGGTTAAATAATTTGCCCAGGGTTAGTTACACAGCTCCAAACAGGGGAGGCGGGGTGTAAACCCAAGCAGTCTGACTACACCTTAGACCTTCTTTGTCTGTTTTTTTGAGACAGATTCTCCCTATATAGTGCAGGCTGGCCTTGAATTCACTTTGGCCTCAAACTTGCTGAGATCCTCCTGCCTCAGCCTCCCAAGTGCTGGGATTACAGGCTTGTGCCAGCAAGCACAGATTTAGAATCTAGATTTTTAAGGGCTACATATGATAAATGTTCTCAAACCTGTCTTTTTTTTTGTCTCTTTGAAACACACTTTCACTATGCAGTTCAGGCTGGCCTTGAACTCACTTTGTAGCCCAAACTCCCCTTGAACTCTCAGTAATCCTCCTGCCTCAGCCTCCAAGGGCTGGATTACACGTGTGTACCACCACACCTGGGTCAAACCTGTTTTGACCTAGCATACCTCCCATCCACACTCTTAAAAAAAAAACAAAACAACAAGCCAGGTGTGGTGGCACATATCTCTAATCCCAGCACTTTGGAGTTTGAAGCTAGCCAAAACTACACACTGATAGCTAGGCAGGGCGTGCTAGTGCACGCGTATAATCCCAGCACTCCAGAGGCTGAGAATAGCTGAGTTTGAGACCAGCCTGGGCTACAATGTGAGTTCAAGGCCAGCCTGAATTGCACAGCCAGACACTGTCTCAAAAAAACAAACAAAAATGACAGTGAGTTGTTCAGGGGGGTGAGATCAGCTGTCATGGGACAATGAGCTAGAGCTACTACTCTAGAGAGTAGCAGCAAAAGAGAAACCAGGGCTGTGACTCCCAACTAACAGCTCATCCTACGCTGTCACTGCCAATCTAGCTTACTAAACCCTAAGGTAAATAAAGATGCCACTGAGTCCTTAACAATTGTGAAAAGTGAGTCTGCTCTGCCCAGACAGGCATAATGGTCCCATGCTACTCACATGTCCTTCTCCTTCTCAGAACTCTCGTACTCCAGGAACACGATGTGCCGAGGGTAGTGGCCACAGATGTCCCCATTCACATTCGGAATCACGCTGAAACAGTAGTCCCGGCCAAACAGCTCCAGACATCTCTTCTCAATGCGCTCAACCTGCATGGGGGAGGAGACAGGAACGGAGCAAGACTCTAGCGTTCCAAAGGTGAGAATTAAGCAGCTCGTGACTCAGAGAGGTCACTGGGAAGACATGTGCCTGTGTGATTATTAGTACTTGAGGCTGGGAAGAGACACGATTGTGGAGCCCAGCATCTCTAGGAGCATCAACACATGTGAGGGGTCCTGAGCCCCTCAACGCAGCATGTAAAACCCTGTGGTTAGCATTTGAGAGGATCACCACTTCTGTGAGCTTCAAATGAACCCACGACTCAACAAGTATGAAACTCTTGCTCTAGGTTACTGTACCCAGCACTAATCCACCATCAGCCCTTGGTGGCAGTTTCTTCCCTATTCTCCAGCTCTAGACTAGTACCTTAAAGCTCTACTCAGTGAAATCATTAGAAGCTGCACAGAGTCGGCTCTCACACACTCCTTACTTATAAAATACAAGGCATACCACCTCCCAATGGACTGTTTCATTCACAGTCCAAGAAAAGACCTGTAACATCTCAGGCAGTTTGCAAGAGATCAGCTGGCTCAGAGAGGCCTCAAGGGAGGCTATAAAGAAAATGACAACCCTAATCTCCCGGGGTATGTAAGATGGAAGAGGGTCCAGGAAAAAAAGGCCTTTTATAGCCACAAAAAAGACTTTCCTGAAGACAATTCATGGTGGTTTAAACTAGCTATCCTAAAATTTCAGAACACAAGAGCATTACTAAGAGGTCAGTTGCCTGTAACTCCAGCACTCAGGAGGCTGAGGGGGTTGGGTCACTCTGAGTTCAAAGGAAGCCTGAGCTACACAGTGAGTTCAAGGCCAGCCTGAACGACATAGCAAGAGCCTGTCTCAAAAAAAAAAAAAAAAAAGCCAATTAATATGGTTTAGCATTTCATCCATTTAATTTTCAGCAATTCGCTACAATTAAGATATCTTAGTAAAGACAGTCTCTCTTTTTGAGACTGGCTCTCACTATGTAGCCCAGCATGGCTGGAACTCGCTGCAATCCTGCCTCAGCCTCCTAAGTGCTGGTTAGGGGTGTGCGCCACCACGCCCGGTTTGAGGCCTCCTTTTAATAAAGGAACAGAAAGGGAGTGTGAGTAGTGTTCCTGCTCTATGGGGGAAGGAAATGGATGGACTTAAACCATGCTGAGACCTTAGGAGGAAACACGGTCTGTACCTTGGCTCCATGCTGCCCCACCACCTTCCGCCCCTTCGTTCTGACCTCGGACTTGGAGAAATCCTGCCTCTACTTTCACTTAGATTTGGGGGTTTTGCCCTGATACGACTCCCAGGTATCGGAATAACTTTCCTTAACTCTCTACCCTTTGCACCCCCAGCCTCTGACCCCTGACCTCCGAACCCGCTGTCTCAAATCAAAAGGTCCTTTTTCTTGGCTTGCTCTGACCCTACTTCCTCATTTTAGGGCTGTTCAGCCGCCTCCTCCACCTGTGAGTCCAGGTCCTGGAAAAGTCCCCTCTCCTGTTCCTAGCTGGTGAGTCTCACGTCTCCCTTCGGGGCCCCTGACTTCGGTCTTGCCTCTGGCAGTCCTCACGCCAGGCACCTCTGCTCTTCGCGCCGCAGCGCTCACCTTCGAGCCGCTCGCCCCGCCGCCGTCCTTGGCCCGGTACTGAGTCCGGGAGAACTCCTGCAGCAGCTCCCCGAGTCCCGGCTCCTGCGGCGGCGGGCTGCTCGAAGAAGCTGACGGCCCCGCTGAGGCGGCGGCGGCGGCCCGAGCGCCGGCCATGCCCAGCTCCACGTCTCTTCAGCGCGCCTCCGCCCGGGCCATGGCACCTGCTGCACCGACTCCGACTCTGGCACCTCCCGAGCTACCTCGGCCGCCGCCTCACTCTTCACTTCCGGCCCCGCCCCATCTTGCCGGATGTTTACTGCGGCCATAGCCAATCGGAGCGCGAGACCCGAGCGCCTGTCACTATTCCCCGCCCACCCCTGACGCGGAGCGGTCCAAGTGGTCTCTGGCGGGGGCCGCGGGGCTGGTTGGTGCCTGCGGCTCCGCCCATAGGGTTTCCCCGAGGATGCCGGGGTGAACCACTGAGCCTCCACGGGAGGGGGCGCAGCAAGAAGGAACCATTGGCGATTCCAGGGGATACTGAGTTAACCTTGGCCAGTCGGCTGCCATAGTAACGGCAGTAACTAACGTTTAAACCAAACGGTGGGAAGTGCTTTTCCTCACTACCCCTCACAGCGGCACTGTGCCGTTATCATCACAGAAACAGAGTCAAGTTCCTGGCTTGAAATTCTGTTTGAAAAACCGCTTAGTCTTTTTCTTCTTTTCTTAATGGAATATTTCTTTTCTTTTTGTCTTTTTCTGAGACAGAGTCTTGCTATGCAGTTCAGGCTGGCCTCGAACTCGCAACAATCCTCCTGCCATAGCCTCCCGAGTGCTGGGATTACAAACATACACCACCACGTCTGGCTCTTAGTGGAATATTTTCAACGTTCGAAAAACTGGATGCAGAAGCATTGGTACAGGAATAATGTAGGGCCTCCAAATGATATAGGGGAAATATTATAACTCCTTACTTGCTAGATGGCTGATACACTGAGTTAGTATTCCCCCAAATGGAAGAATGAATTCTAAGGAACAAAGGCAGTTAAGAGTGGGAAATATTTATTGATGGGGAGAGATACAGCTCCTGAGAAGCAGGAGGTGTCCCCAGGGGAAGTTTTATAGAGAACACCCACGTGGGTACAATGTGGGTTAAGCCTATGATCAACCAATAAGATTATAAGTATAGGGTTAGGTAATATTGATCCGGGGGTAAGCAGGTCAGGTAGCAAGTGCACATGGAAAGAAAAAGGTTTTCAGGAAGGGATGAGTTTGAGGGTCTTGGTCACCCACCAAGGTGACTGCTGTCTATCGAGACTTCATTAGACCAGGTGTTACCTACCGCTTATCTCAAGCCTGGTCATTCCGTCTTTATCTTGAGGCCTGACTTGTAACACATGTGCCTCCAGCCACAGTTATAATGAGTTTTTCTTTACCTTAACTTTCTTGAGGACCCAGTCCTACCTGACTGCCTATAATATCTCTACCTAACTCAGCTGTCTGCAATACTATAATAAGCCAACCTTGTCTCCACAACTTTTTTTTTTTGAGATAGGATCTTGCTTTGTGGTTCAGGCTGACCTTGAACTCAGCCGGTAGCCCAACAGTCCTCCTGTCTCAGCCTCCTAAATGCTGGGATTACCGGTGTGTCCTACCGTGCTGGGCCACTAACTGCTTTCAATAGTAATCAATGAATGCCAGTCATCATGTTCATTCAGTCCCTTCCCACCCAGGGATTCTGTCAATGGTTAAGTACAGTATGTATCTCTGATAGGTGAGACCATTTAATTGATACATTAGGCACTTGGCCATTAGCACCCCTAAGAAAGTTAATTATACTCTGTAATATGGGGCTGAGAGCCAGTCCATTTCACTTTCTCAGACTGTCTGCAGAGATAACTGCTTTGGTAAACTTTTAGTGAAATGTGATTGTAGGGCTGGGGATTTAGCTCAGCGGCAAAAGCGCCTGCCTGGCAAGCGCAAGGTCATGAGTTTGGTTCCCGGTACCGGAGAAAAAAAACAAAAACAAAAAAAAAAAAAGAAAGAAATGTCATTGTATATACCAGTCCCTCAGAAGCCAATCCTGCTTTCACAGTGGGCCAGCCAGGGTGTCCCAGTAGCTCAATGCCTGGTGACAATTTCATCTCAAAGATTATGAGGGGGGTCATTTTATTTATTTGTTTGCTTTTTGAGACAGAATCTCACTATGTAATTCAGGCTGTCCTTGAACTCACTTTGTAGTGGTCTTGAATTCTCATCTATCCTCCTGCCTCAGCCTCCTGAGTGCTGGGATTACAGGTGTGCACCACCACACCTGGCACAGCTCCTGGAATCTGATTGGCTCCCTCATTGTCTATTGCCTTGTCCAGCACAGCTCTCAAAGGTAGTGGTGGGGGAGGATGTCGAGAGGATGGAGAAATAAAGACAGAAACAATATACAGAAAACTGAGGTCAGGTGGAGCCTTCTCTCCGTCCTTTTTTTTTGGTACTGGGAATCAAACTCATGACCTTGCCAGTCAGGCTCTTGTGCTATTGAGCCATATCTCCAGTCTGAAACCCTCTCTCCGGATGAAAAGGAACTGCTCAACCACCACAGGGCATTTATTTATATGTTTATTGTTCTGGACTCGCAACCAGAAATGAACCAAATGGTACCGACCGACAAACACCAAGACGCACGGACGAGCCTTTATTCCTGGCCAGGGACTGACTGAGAGCCTTCACGCAGGGAAGGA